ATAAGTTAATTAGATATTAACGAAAGGAATTCTGACAATTTTTCTAGTCAGCCAGACAGCCTCAAAAGAACGCTTAATTTGTCTTTTTGGATTAAGCGGTCATTGACTTTTATGATTGGATAAAACACTTAAATATATGCAACAGCCATTTCATTATTTTGCAATTCAATTTATTATCTCAAACTACAGGAAAGAATTCTCAAATTTCATTCTGCAAAAATATACTGAATAATTCAAATCAGTTTCGAAAAATCTCCATCATATTCAAACATAAAAATGCAGCCAGTGAAATCAAATATAGCTTCACGTCAATTTGTCACGTTATCAAACATGGGGTCTAAATTTAGCGACACCAAGTGGACTTGAGTTTATTGTATTCTCCAAGTCTTTCTATGTTAACATTTCTTTAGAATAAGAATACATAGAGAATTCATTATAACCACTAATAATCCACTACTGTGCTTAAATTTTTACTCTAAAAAAATGCAGAAAGCCATCTTTAAAAATTTACATGATAAATTGGAAAGTTTTTATAAATTTTATCAGATTTCTTCAGATTGGTTATCATCGATCCTTCTGATCAATTTCTCAACTGGATTTTGAATTTAAAAATCTATCAGAAAATAGTCTTCACTACTGATTAGAATGAAAATATCAGTTTTAAGTCTCAATCTTGGCCCAAGAGTGCTTATATATTATATTCCTCATCAGATTTACTTAAACAGCAGAATTCCTGTACATAACATTGAATTCATAAGATAGCTTGCCAGGCATATAATATATACACCCACTGGCAGCTTTGATTTTGAATGAAAATATTTAGCAGTACAGTAACAATCACCAGTATGAAATATTCAACCTTCAGTTATACACTTCATTTGAACTCTTTAGGGCGATACTGAATAATATTGAGTATGAGTTACTGCCTTTGTTCTTGAAAACGTGTTCAATCTTTAGCTCGTGAAAACTCTAGAAGACAAATATTCAATCTTCAGCGCGAGAATCATGCCTTCTACAGTTTCTACTAGCTACAAATTGAACTATTTTCAAAAACAAGGGCAATAATTCATACTAAATATTTTTTTGATTTTTCTGATTTTCAAAAGGGTTTATCCTTGGATGATAACAAACACTCACACCAAGTTTCGTCAAAATCCGTCAAATATTGTCCCTTCTAGAGTGTTTACAAGCTAAAAAATTAACGCGTTTTCAAGAACAAGGGCAGTAACTCATACTAAATATTTTTCAATTTTTCTGATTTTCAATAGGGTTCATCCTTGGGTGATTACGAACACTAACATAAAGTTTCGTCAAAATCTGTCAAGAATTGTGCCTTCTAGAGTGTTTATGAGCTAAAAATTGAACGCGTTTTCAAGAACAAGGGCAATAACTCATACTTAATATATTTCGATTCTTCTGATTTTGAATCCTTGGGTGATTACGAACACTCATGCCAAGTTTCGTTAAAATCCATCAAGCATTATCCCTTCTAGAGTGTTAACGAGCTAAAAATCGAACGCGTTTTAAAGAACAAGGGCAATAATTCATATTAAATATTTTTCGATTTTATTGATTTTCAATAAGGGTTCATCCTTGGGTGATAATAAACAATTTCAGCAAGTTTCGTCAAAATCCTTAAAGAATTGTGACGTGTAGAGTGTTAACAAGCAATTGTGGACCGACGGACCGACGGACACGGGTGACGGCAATATACGCCCCACATTTCACGTGGGCGTATAAAAACTAAGTAATTATTGAAAATACTTAATAATGTTAATATTATATACTTATAAGTAAGTCCACTGATGAATATAATATATACTCATTTTGACTAAGTGAAAAATTTAAATTTAAGAGAATGTTTTACAATAAACATGTAATACATGTCTTAGAATTTTGGAGATTTCATAAATCATTGCACATACTTCAATTTACAACCTTACCTCAGCTCAATTTTGATTTTGAAATGACGCCACATTCAACAACTACCTTACATTGAATTTTAATTCCATTTCATCTTTAGAAATACTGAGGTGTATTTTTACATATTAAGACTAATACTTCCTTGTCAACAATTTTGAAGGTCTGTTTAAACATTATTGAAAACTTATAACCTGTTATGAAGCTTCAATGTCCTAATTTTAACAACCTTTATTCATGATATTCTGTGAATGCCTGAATGCACATCAATCTATTGTCAATAATAACTACATCACCTATAGAAGTTTACTGAGCATGCTTAGTCCTATACACTCTTTTCTCGTCTCTGATCAAAGCTTTATAACAAATGCAGAAATTTTTTCATTAATAGTGTTTTATATCTTTCTGCAAGCATGCACTCCTCATTTTTTATCATATACAACAACATAATAGGTGTAGATGTGTGATAAAAATGAAACTTGTGCATTCAAACAATTAAATATGTTATTTTAACTTTAAACGGAGTTTGAGTATTTTTTAAAAAATTTTTCTTCATCTCCAATTCCCACCCTCCAAAAGATCTTTTTAAACCACATTCTCAAGAGTCAGCAGGTCCTGGTTTTGGACTAATAATTTACAAATTGTATAGAATGGAAGTTATCTTTTGTAAAGAATATGTGATAAGATTTGAGGTTTGAGTGATTCACAAAGCATTATATTACATTTGTATAAGTAGCATATTAAAATTGTTATTGAATGTGTTGTACACCCTTTAAATCCTATTGAAGATTGAAGCCTCAAACAGTCTCAAGTTATCTTTATCTACTACAGATTTCTTTATCTTCAGCTTTTACAGATTTTCAGTTCGACATATTTTCTGTTATCTTTATCTCATACAGATTATTTGCTATCTTTATCTTTTATAGATTTCTTTATCTTTTAGAGGTATTCTTTTATCTTTATGTTTAGCAAATGTTGTGTTATCTTTAGTTTTTACAGGTTTTCTGTTGACATATTTTCTGTTATCTTTATCTTATACAGCTCTTCTGTTATCTATATTTTATACAGATCTTTTCTATCTTTATCTTAGTGTTTTATAGTGTCACCCCCGCAAAATTTGCTTGTATCATATAACACCTTTGCTGGGGTGACGTCATAAAACACTTAGTATTAGTGGAATAATGCAAATTGATGCTATTGTTGTCCCTGATACACATACAAAATTTAGAAAACCTATTTATAATCCCTTTAATCTTTTAGATCATTATCCATGGTATGAGTTCTCTATACTATGACATACATTGTGAAATGCTGAAAGTTGAGTACACAACAACACAGAAATTGAAACTTGACCTTCAAATCATCAGGCTGGTATGTATAATAAAATATTTAATATCCTAGTAGCCTACACTGCTTCATCTATATAGAAAATAATTGATCCTTAAAATTATCATCTCCAATTACACTGACATATATTTTGAATTCTCTATAACATTCCATTCTCATCACATCACATCAGTTTCTTCTTACTGTATGAAATAAATCCCAAATAATCCACCTCACTCTACTGGACAGTCATAAGATAGGTCAAATTTACTCCATAAATAGAAGAACAAGACACTGGTCTAGATTACAAGTTTAAAGACAAACCTAGACGACATCGTGCTAAATATATATCCTGCCATAAGAGGCTGTTCTATGAATAAGGGAGAGTTAAATCTTTAGTGTCAATGACAGTTTGACCTGTAAACCAGCCTAACTTGATAAAATTATAACTTTCTTTCTTCCTTCAACTCATTTTCCTCTAGACACTATTTCACCTGTTTACTCTTTCAACTGTAAATTAAATTGTGCATTCAATTTAACACTATGGTAAGAGTGACTTGCTCAATTACTCCTCATTAATTGTTAGATGTTGTTTTAGCATTCTTTCTATATAACTCCCTTTTAGTTTACATACTGGTACCCATTTTATTATTGTGTCTCAGGCTTGTCATATATTCACTTTAATATTTTCTGATCGATTCACAATTTGAAATTCATTCTTCCAATTTCATATTCACAGTAAAAAGCTTGATAAATCATTATCTAAACAGGCAGTTTGAAGATTGCTCTATTCTTCACACAGTATTACTTAAAACTTCTGATTAAACTGATAAAACTTTGTTAACTTACACTGCCTGCAATAACATAAAGTATGAAAATGTCCAAAAGCTAGTTTTGACATGATGAATATTTTTTTGTATAAAGTATATTGATATAGCTTCAGGCTAATATTTTTGTCAAGTGATTAATCAAGGTAAGTATAATTTACAAAAAATGTCAAATTGTATCAAAACACCAATATGTCTCTTTTAACAAAAAATTTATCTATGCAACTCTGGCAATCGGTTTGCCAAGGATAAAAGGAATTGCTTTAATTGGTGAAGATAATATATGGACCAAATTGTTTTTTACTGAATTGTGCATTCTGAATAGCGCTACAGATAGATGGTGGTCAACAGAATCATCATATGTCATATACAATAAGAAAAAAAAATGATACAATTTCGTTTTATCAAATAAAATCATTCTTACATTCTATTGAAAATTAAAGGTACATGTGCAGCATTTTGGGGGGTTGATATGGGTCTTGAATATATGTAAATAACCTTTTAGAACTACTACTAAAACTGTATGAATATCGCATGATTACTTCAAATAGAACTCAAACAAGAAGTTTAACTTTTTATTTATTTCGTTCACAAGCTTATCATCTCTCTAAAATTTTGGGTGTCTGAAATTGATTATTTATCGAAACTATTCTGAGAGTAAAGTATGATTTACTGACACATCTGTCCATTTAACCATAAAAATCATTAAAGCAAAATTTAGTTCTTTTAACATTTGAAGACTATAATCAAACTTTTACAGGTGTTTTCTTTAATTCATCTAGAATGATAGAATTGCCTATATTGTAATTTATGAAATCTTGGAAGAACATGTTGAATTGCTTTAAAAAATAAACATTTCCACCAGTTAAGAGATCAACATAGCAAAAGAAGTATAGCTGTATAGAAACGAAAGTTTCAATTTGATTTTCACAAAACTTTGAATGCTGATGTTGTTAGTTCTTTGTGTTGATGGTAGCCTAGTTCGATAAATGGTTGAGTTATTGGCTTTGGAATTGGAAAATTGGTTTGTTCAAACGATGGCTTATGTTTCATCTTCTTTGTAAGTACTGGTAATAAAGATCTTGTTTCTTGACGAGGTGTATTTCTCAACTCTAATAATGCTTCATATTGATCTCCACCATCCTTCAAAGTTTTAATCATCATATGTTTGATCAGTTTAACAGCAGATTCTGCTTTTCCATTTGCGGCTTGATGACCAGGAGATGATTTGATGTGTGAGATACCCCATTTTTTACATAAAATGTTAAAGTCTTGGGAAATAAATTGAGGACCTCCATCAGAAACTATCACTTTCTAGCAAATTGTTTCTTAAATTTTTGAATCACTTGACTACTAGTTGTTGAAGTCAATAGTTCAACTTCTATAAAATTTGAGTAGTAGTCAATAGAAACTAGGTAATTTCTACCTTTGATTTCGAACAAATCAGTACCAATTTTAGCCCATGGTTGATTGACAGTATCAGGTTGTTTTAAAGTCTCTTTCTGATTTCTTGGTTTCATTTCCTGACAAGCTTCACAGTAATCAACCATCTGTTTGATATCTTTGGCCATTCCAGACCAAAATACAGTTCCACGAGCACGTCTTATCATACTATCATAACCTAAATGAGCACTATGAAGTCTATTCTTTATATCAGCACGACACTCTTTAGGAATCACAACAGCTTCTCCTTTAAGAATAATTCCATCTTCATAGCTTAAAACATCTCTCATATCGAAATAAGGTTTGAGATCACCAGGAAGAGAATCTCTATGTTCAGGCCATCCATTACTTATCACCAAAAGTAATTCTTGCAGTGTTTCATCTTTCGTTGTGGCTTCTTTAATTTCCTGTAATCTCTCATCAGGTATTTCAGCAAATATGTTGATACTCATGATTCTTGGACCTTCTTCATCCACCATTGGAGAATCATCAACAACAGCTCGACTTAACGTATCAGCTATGACTAGATTTACACCTTTCACGAATTCAAACTCTATGTCATATCTATAAAGTTTCATCATAATGTCTTGTAATCTCTTAGGAGCACTACTTAATGGTTTCTTTAATATAGCAGCTAAAGGTTTGTGATCATTTTGGACTTTTACGGGTCTTCCATATGTGTATTGATCAAAACGTTCTAACCCATACAAGATTGACAGCGCCTCCTTCTCAATTTGTGCCCAATTGCGTTCTGAAACGGTCAGTGATCTAGATGCGAATTCTACAGGCTTTCCTTCTTGTAGGAGAACAGCTCCAATTCCATCTTTACTGCTATCGACTTGAATGACGACTTCCTTCTTTATGTCAAAATAAGCTGGTACGGGTGCTCTAGTTAACATTTTGCCTGTTTTGCGAAATGCATCTTCACATTTTTTGGACCAATACCATTCAGTGCCTTTTTTTGTTAAAGCTCGAATTGGTTCAAGTGTGCTTGCCAAATCAGGTAAAAACTTCGCCATGTATTGGATCATACCACAATATCGTTTAACACCAGAAACATCTGTAGGTGGTTTCATGTCGAGTATGGCTCTAACTTTAGCATTGTCAACCTTCACACCATCTCTTGTTATTCTATGACCATTGAAAGAAATTTCTGTCAGGGCTATTTCTTTCTTCGCATCATTGAGTCTTATATTCTGCTGCTCACATCTCTGGTATAAACTAGCAAGTTTACGTTCATAGTCTCTTTTGGCTTCTATGTCAGTAGAACTACATCCAACGACAATGATGTCATCTGCTATCGTGAAAACACCATGTAAATCACCCAAAACTTCTATTAGTTTGCGTTGAAATATTTCACTGGATACTTTCAAACCAAATGGTAGACGAGACCATCTATAACGTCCAAATGGAGTGATCATAGTTGTTAATAAACTTGACTCTTCCTCTAGGCACAATGATAATAAGCCTAACGAACATCGACTTTCGAGAATATCTGTGCGTTGTGTAGCTTTGGAAAAACATCATCTAATGTTGATGACTTGTAATATTCTCTTATCAGAGCAGAATTCAATGGTTGCGGATCGATACATATGCAGAGAGCTCCAATAGGTTTACGAACAACTGCCATTTGACTCACCCATTTTGTTGGTTCAGTAACAGGAACTAAAATGTTTCTTTCGACTAGGATATCTATAGCTTTTTTCACTTCCTCTTCCAGAGAATGCGGAACTTTTCGGCATGGTAACGCCTTTTCTCAAACATTTGGGTCTACTACAAGGCTAACTTCACCAAGATTACCAAGAGGTTCAACTTTAACACTTGATATGAACTTCTCATCGTTAAATGTTATTAGACCCATTTCTTGCGTAGCCTTCAGGCCAAGAAGACTCATTAGATTATCAGGTACAACGATAAATAGTACTTTGTGGGCTTCACTTGTACGTGGATTGATGACGGTCAATTCAGCTTTACCTATTGGATTTAGGTTAGTTCTATTCCACATTAACAAACGAGTTGTGGTTTTCCTGATTTGCTTCTTGTGAACATACTTTTCATTAATCGTGTTGACATCAGAGGCTGTATCTAAATGGAATCTGACCTCCAAATCATTAATGTTCATACAGGCAGTAACAAAATTTCCATTGCGACTTTTCTTCACTACAGCAAGCCAACTATCATCAAATTCTTCGTCGTCACTGATTTGACTGTTACTAATGACTGCATTAATCTTCTTACATTTATTCTTAAAATGATTTCTACCCTTACAGCTATTGCAAGTTTTACCCCATGCTGGACATTTTGATTTATCTGGTTTATGATGGTAACCACAGAAATCACACTCATTATAATGTTCCTGACCACGTCTCTGTTGTCCAGGCTTCTGATTCGTCGAAGATGAAGTATTTCCAGAACTTGTTCTTGGCGTTGCTTTCTTGGATGGAAAATTATTAAATTTCCTATCTTCTTTGTACACTCGATTCACTCTTTGAGTAGACGTACTTGTGCCTAATGTTTCTCTTAATTCTTTCACATGTTTATTGGATTGTTCATAGGCTCTGCAGATTTTTACAGCTTTGGTCAAATCCAGATTTTCTTCTCTTAAAAGCAATTCTTGTAATTTACCAGTCACTGAAAACACAATTTTATCTCTGATATTTCTGTCTCTTTCAGCAAATTACAAGAATCGAACCTTGTTCTAAGCTCAGTTAAGAAAGTGTCAAAATTGTCTGATTCTGAGTATTTATGATTCCAGATCGAAATGATTCTACAACTTCAGTGCATCTCGGATTATAATATTCTTCCAATTTTTGAAAAGTTTCACAGTGTTTTTCTTATCTTCTTCTGCATCCCACTGAAATTGATCGAATATGTCCAGAATATGACCACCAGCACATCAATAGCCATCAAATAGACTTCAACTTGCCGTTTCCACTTCTTATAATTTACTCAATCGGAAATGACTCGTCTCAGCCGCCATCTTTTTCCTCGGTTGCAGAACAATCCAGAACAAAAAATGTCAATACAGTTACGAACAGTTTCTTCCACTTTTTTACTAACAAAATAACGGTTTGTTAGCCACTCCAGCCATCATGTTGACAACTGCAATTATTCTAGAAGGAATAATGTTGTCTTTAGTGGACTGTTTGGTTTTTTGATTGAGAACTAGGTAAAATAATACGACACGTTTTTTATTCAAGGGAAATAACTCAAGACCTACTATTTAGGCTGTGTACATTTGTTAACTGATAAATGTAATACAAAACGAAACAATCAACAAATCTAAGAATGTAAAGAATTGTAGCTTGTAGAGTGAGCACAAGTTGCACAATATAGCTAATAGAGTAAAATTTCATGTCAGACAGGATATTTTGGTGAAAAATTATCCGATCATCACAAAAATCGATAGGGATCATCTTCATAATGACACTGACACACAAAATCAAAATCATCTGTAAAAAAGTGTAGCTTGTAGAGTGAGCACGAATTGCACAATATAGCCAATAGAGTAAAACGTCAAGTCAGACACGATATTTCCGTGAAAAATTATCCGATCATCACGAAAATCGATAGGGATCATCTTCATAATGATATCGACACGCAAAATAAAAATCAAAATAATCCGTATAGAATTGTAGCCTGTAGAGTGAGCACGAGCCAAATGTAAACGGACGGACCGACGGACCGACAGGGTGATTACAATATATAAGCCCATCTTTCGAGTGGGCGTATAAAAATCAAAAGAATCTGTAAAAACTTGTCGCCTGTGGATTGAGCACAGGGTTGCACAATATAGCTAATAGAGTAAAACGTCAAGTCAGACACGATATTTCGGTGAAATATATCCGATCATCATGAAAATCGATAGATCATCATGAAAATCAATAGGGATCATCTTCATAACGACATAAACATACAAAATAAAAATCAAAAGAATCTGTAAAGAATTGTAGCCTGTAGAGTGAGCACGAGTTGCACAATATAGCTAATAGAGTAAAACGTCAAGTCAGACACGATATTTCGGTGAAAAATTATCCGATCATCACGAAAATCAATAGGGATCATCTTCATAATGACATTGACACACAAAATAAAAATCAAAAGAATCTGTAAAAAATTGTAGCCTGTAGAGTGAGCACGAGTTGCACAATATAGCTAATAGAGAAAAACGTCAAGTCAGACACGATATTTCGGTGAAAAATTATCCGATCATCACGAAAATCAATAGGGATCATCTTCATAATGACATTGACACACAAAATAAAAATCAAAAGAATCTGTAAAAAATTGTAGCCTGTAGAGTGAGCACGAGTTGCACAATATAGCTAATACAGAAAAACGTCAAGTCAGACACGATATTTCGGTGAAAAATTATCCGATCATCACGAAAATCAATAGGGATCATCTTCATAACAACATTGACATACAAAATAAAAATCAAAAGAATCCATAAAGAACTGTAGCCTGTAGAGTGAGCACGAGCCAAATGTGAACGGACGGACCGACGGGGTGATTACAATATACGTCCATCTTACGTGTGGGCGTATAAAAAAATAGGTACTTAATTAGAGTGAAGAAGCAAAGACATCTGACAGAAAAGTGCAAAGGTTCAACGCTATGTGTACACAAATCAAGTTCTAAAAACTTCCTTACAATCCCTTTAAGCTCAGTTTCTAGTTGATTTAATTTTCTACATTATCTATATTACAAATCAATGACAACCAGACAAGGTTCAATAAAACTTATCATGATGAACACCCTGATATGAATCAGGCAAGAAAAATTGTGAGGAGCTCCGAATTGCACCAGTCTGTGCCATGATTACCAGAATTTACATTTAATTTGTATGAACTATATAACTGTATATTGGGTAAATAGCTAAAAGGAATTTAAAATCCTGTAATGGGATTGATATTGATTAAAAAAAAGATATATTTAAAACCTGTTTCAATTATTGAAACGCATGTATAAAGGTGTGTTTTAATTAAAATGTTACGGATTTATTTTGAACAAACAAATAAAATAATAGTTTACAAATATCAAACATAATTTTATAAGAAAGGTCTGTTGCAACTGTCTGCTACTGAAGAGGTCCCCAAGAGACATCAGTCACTCTACATTTTGCTACATACAACAGTTATTAATTATGTTTTAATTGACATTTAAAATATGAAATACAATATAAGGAAAAAACCTAATATGTGACGAAGACATAACATTACGCAACATAAACAGAACTATAAATTGATAAAGGGAAATAACTCTTTCTGAAATTATGAATGGTTTCTGCTCGTCACATAGCATAGGCTACAAATCTATTTAAATCATGGATTATATTCATCAACTTTTTTGTGCATATGCTCAAATCATCCAAAGTTATTTGACCCGGAAAATAAAGAAGAGTTGAAAACACAGAATCACATCATGTGATAATAAAAATCTACTCACTGCTTTTCTTTGTGGTTTAATTTCTTTCATTTCATCATCTGTGCTAGAGAGATCAAAACAGGATAAGCTGGATTCATCTGAATCGGGATCTAACCCCGAGGATACAGACAACCATTTATTCTTATCGTCATAAGCTAATGTTCCACCTAAATCTTCATCACCATGTTCCAATTCAGAGAAATCACTAACAGTCACTGAAGGAATCACTAGATTACCAATAAATTTGAAACTATTCTGATCAGCATGTAAATCCATTTGCCTAACAAAGTTCAAATGGTGTCTTCCTTTACTGTTCTCGGGACTAGGAGGTTCACTTCTAAAATCTAATAGACGTCTGTCACAATTGGAACCGGAACTAGACCGCCTGGATGATGTCAGAGAACCTGTTAAGGTACCGATTCCAGATTCAGATGGCAACCTTAAACTATTTCTCCTCGTTTGAGAACTATGATCGGATTCAGTAGTCTCTACAAGTTTCATGGTAATCACAGCAGTCTCTGTTCCTTTAGATGTAGTTATAGGTAAACACATTTCTACTGGTTCATTAGAGGATTTAAATAAATCTACGTCGACCTCTAATAGTACTTTATTATTCATATGACTAGCTGATGCACAATGCACAGTGACACTGCTATCCCCTTTCGAACAACCAGATTTCAGGTTTCCTTTGGAGGTGTTTCCTTGATAACCATCTTCATCTAGAGATTGCAACCAATTTCTCAAAAAGAGACTTTTACCTTTTCCGTTCTCGTCTTCTCCAATCCTAAATTTGTCTTCTTGTAAAGATACAGAAAGTCGTTCATCTGAACTGTTACCAAGAAAAGGTGTACTTTCAGAATTATATCGTCTTTTATGAGTATAGCTTGAGTGAGATTCATCCGTGAGTATTTCAGGACACGATATGGATGAAGAAAAATTTGGTCTTACGTGTTTTCTATTAGTGAAATTTTCCGTAAAACTATTTTCCATTTTCATGTTTCGCTTCCCTACAAAAGTTTCAGGTCCTTCAAATATGTCAGTGTCGTGAAGTTTAGCACCGAACGCTTTGACCTGCATTTCCGACAGATTGTTGACATCATGAGGTGTTTTCATTGACATCATCCAGTATATTTACAATAATTAGGCGAGTTATAAACGGAAATTTTTAATCTCATTCAGGAAATCATGATATCCTCTCAATAGTTCAACGTTTCATTTGAAGACAATTTCATTTACCACTTGGTACAGTTACAAAACCATTATTATCTAATAAAACAAAAATAAAATGGGTATGTTTGTCTTGTCAAATAGCAAATTAATATGGAGTTCTATAAATGGAATTGCTTCCTATTTCACGTCTCAGAATTAAAATGTGTTGTAAGTTGGACTACGTGACAGGTCGTTGAAATCCAAAGGAAGGATTTATACGTTCACATATTGAGAAAAACTATTGACGTATTATACTCTATCTATGCCAGTCCTTTCATATCTTCTAGTGAACGCTATTCAGACACGAGTTATATGACTTGATTATTGAAATTTAATGATATATTTCTATATATTTCCAAACTGATTTTTTTTACCAGCCGATGACGGCAAATTATATCCACAATCTGACCACCGAAAATTTTTGTATTCCAGACAATCTGCTATATACAGTTGTACACGATAGTCGTTTGACACCTCTTGAGTAGTCTCTCATGTGGATATTTCTGGTGACATCAAAGACACTATGCAATTGATAATATTGTAATACATAAAGTCCGATCCTAATACGATGACAAAAATTTAGATGGTAAATTCGGATTATTGGTTTTGATATTAATGCGATAAAATGGTCATTTGTGTCTACTGTTGCTTCTATAGACTTCAGACAATATTTTTTCCCACGTGCTCCTAAGAACGATACGGTGGTTCGGGATTAAAGTCTTAATTTCTGAAAATAACAATAGTCATGAATTCATTTTTAAGACTGTAGAGTCACAGTAAATCTTAAATAAGGTAAAACTCATATGCCTTGTCATTTGAGACTTGAAGAATCATCTAGTGGAATATTGGTATTTCAGTACTTACCAAAACCTCCTCTTCACACACTATACACATATTATATTGACCAGTTAGTTGGCTATAGACAGATTAATACTCAAAAGAGTTTGATATATGAGATGATCTCACTTCAATGAAGGTTTATCATTGAATCACTATCCTTTGTTACACGATTTAAAGAAAATTTTGCTCTCATCTTTTCAATAAGCAGATTTTTTTCACCTAATCCCTATTAATGTTCCTGAGTATATTTTGATTTCGAACAGTAGTAACTATAATGTCCATAACATAAGTCAGCCAACAGATTAGAAACGTATTTGTTACCTTCCTGACATCTAGTAATTAGTTTTAATGAAACATGAGGTGAAATCAATAATGATAATAATACAATAGCACATGTTATTGATAATAAATCACCAGTGTATATAACATCGTTTAGCAGTTTTATTTACCTTGCTGAGATATAGTGATAATATTGTCGTGTACCTTTTATTGTACTATATACATCAATTCTACCTAATGTTAAAGATAATGACCTGTTGAATAATAATATTTGACTGACTGTAATATGATTCATTCTTGTTTCATTTCATTTCAGTTTTAATAACCAAATTGTTCCTCGGAGATTTATAAATATTTGACACAACGAATATAACACACAATTCGTTCAACACACTTTTATAAAACCTTGTATTTCATACAAATATATACATGTATCTATATATAAATAAAAAAAAACAACGATAGTGTGCTTATGGTGTCAGTTGTCAGATGTGTAGCTAAATGGGGGGAGGGGGGTGGGGGGGTACCGCGAAAGATACTACACAATATTGTATCATTTTCTAAAATGTTCCCTTTAATCTTTATCTTTCTTTACATTTCATTCAGTATAATACACTTGAACAGTAGGCCTAGTAACACACCTTTGTAGATACATTGAATTAAATTGCTATTTATGGATGAATCTCACAATACGGTCTCACAAGTGCCCATCTGAATTAAAAGAGAGATCTAATGTTTAAAGCAGAGAAAGAGGAAAACAGGTGTACAACAGTTTGATCAAACATAATTCTGAATTCAACTTCAGAGCTTACAAAATCACAATACTTAGGCTACACACGTCAATTCAATCTACGCTTGCCTAATATATACAAATTTGCAGAATTTCCCCGGCCGATATTTTTTTTACAGGATGTGTGACCTGCATGATTAAAATTACCATCAGGTATATAACGCAGATTGATTAACACTATGAATAAGTCTGATGTCACAATGTTATTGTTTCCGGGAGATATTTCCGAAGAAAAAAATATGTTAACATGTAATTGCGTTGAAACGCTAATTAAGATAATATTTGTTGAAATATATACAGGTATTGATCTATAATATGATATACTATAGCAATGGTAACGCCTGGTTGAGTAAAGGAGTGACCTCTGGTCCTTTCAAAAATACGCCAAAGATAAAAAAAAACAATAGATAAGGGAAAAAAATACGCTAGTACAAGTCTCTGAATAGTATTAGTAACAAAGTTGTGAATAGAGAGATAAATGTTTTATGTCCAAAAATAAATCTGGCCCGTATGCACCAAATGTAAGCATCGTGTTCATTTGATTTCATCATAACAATCACTATGGTCTGTAGCATTTCTAAGAGTTACCTCCCATATATCGCTAATGCATCATAGATATCTAATGCATAGATATATCAGAGCCTATATATTATGAACCAGTGACCAGGCTCGTTTATATAGGCTCTGGATGTACAGTGGTGTAACCTATTTTCGTGGATATAAGGATTCAACACTGAATTTCAAAACTAAGAGAGTAATAATAGCATATGCAAGATTTTGGGGCAAGGGCAATAACTCTGCTTCTAACAGTCGAAAATAGCTCAAATTCGAACTTGATCTTCGTTTTATGAATATGTACACACATACCCAATTTCATTTGACTCCATCAAAAAATCTAGTTTTAGAGCGTTTACGAGCAATTGATGTTGATAGAAGCACTTACGGTATAGAGGTTAAAGGGCGATAACTCCTCAAAACTGACGTAAGAAGCCTAAATCTTGAAAAAGCCTTGTCATCTACCAATCAACCAGTCATGGAGAAACAAAATAGCGGCTATAGAGGGGATAACGTCACACTACGTAAATGTCAAAAAACAAGGTTTTCTTTCGAATTTCGGGCGTGCACAAAATTAATTCAATTCTATTGAAATGATAAATGTCAGATATTCGTTTCATTTGCATTTTAGATCGTTTCAAGTGGAAAATATTTATTTTTACATGCAATTAGCCTCCGATATTCAATCAGAAAATGTCTTGTCTGCAGATCGTTTGAAATATATATAGTAGAGCCCCTCCTTGACAAAATTTGGACTCCCGTAGGACCAGGGACTAGCCACGAGTCTGGGCAGAACCTCGCACCGCCCATCCCCACCCCCTCGAATATTAATATACTGATTCTGTAAGCAGAAAATTCCTATGGAACACAAAGTGGACCATATTCTTATGTAGTTTCAGTGACTTTTAGCACTTTTTTTTAAAATCGTGGTTCTTTGAAGGAATTGTCACTAGTTATCATGAATTGATATTAAAGATAAATACTAAGAGAAGTTAATTATACCACCCGGTATCCATACAACGTGTTTTCTAGACTTATTTATGGTTCAAACATTGTACACGAAAATAAGTGACGCATTCTGCCGCCGTTGCCGAGTTGGTTGCTCATGAAATATGGGTCAAAGTGAAGAATTCATAAAGAAAATCGAAACAAACCAATTTTAATTATTTTGTGGAATTTCTGAGGAAACATCTAAGACATAAAAAAAAAATTTCGTTTTTTTAACTTTGACGAAATTCGGTGTTGAATCCTTATATCCACGAAAATAGGTTACACATACTAAACGGTCATTTGGTTTCGGACTAAAAATAATCACACGTCACATCCGTAATTTCGCAACATGGTGGACTTTGTAAATAATCTGATAAAAACATCATGCTGAATCTTAGAAATATTAATTGAAAAGAAAATAGACTTGATTAATCAGACTCAATACAACCGAAACCGATGTATACATAATGTTGACAACTCAAGACCGTCTGGCAAAGTAATTACATGATTTTTTTAAGCGTTTTTACATTGAAAATCATGGTGTCTTTGAAATGTCAACTTCGTGAATCACTATTTAATGTTCATTGACAGACCTTGTGTAGTCTTGAATGGTCTAGGTATATACCTTAGTTAGTAGTTGAAATCAAAGCATGGTTGTTCATTGTCTATGAATATTTCCTTTAATATAATTCTGTTGGAACACAAATTTCAAGTGAATTTTCATGTGTTCCTATTTTTCTTTTATTAATGAAATAAAGATAGACATTAAATCCTGTTAAATTATTTTTATTTGAAATCAGTAGCTCAATTTTGTTCATATCTTTTCAGCAGTATGCTTGAAACTTCTTGATGGATTTACTACAATCATATTCAGATTCAGATAATGAAACCAAAGAGGACTTCAATGCGACTATATCTTACAAACAAGGGAGTGGTAGAAGTGATTATTTTTCTCTGATAGATGAAGAAAGCCCTGATTGTGCTGTGCCAAAACCAGAATCTAGAAAAGTGGTTGTTAATGGATTACAGGTTGATGTACCAGAAGGAGCATTTTGGTCTGAAAGAGACACCCAAAACTCAAATGAAGAACATGATTCTTCTGAACTGGTTCAAAGTGATTGTGAAAGAAAGACTGAAAATGAAATAGCCACAGAACACAAAGATACATTAGTTAGAGAATCATCGACGATTCCACCTACTATCCATGAAAGTAGTCCATTTTATTCCACAATGGGGAACAACTTTCAAAATCGAAAGAGAGTGGCAGAATTTGACTCTTGTTCAGATTCAGGATTGTTCATTGTAAGTCAAAAAAAATCAAAAGTATTAAAACCTATTGTTGAATGTGATAAGCGTAATATATTCTTTATTCATGGGAAGATAGGACCCCTTCTCAACCGTCCTGCTTATAATAGATATCCTAAAGATGTAGATAGACAATGGGTGGGGCACAATCAGGTTATAAATAGAGTGCAATGGAACAAACCAAACTATAGTCATCTTGTTTTAAGTGTATCAATGGATAGAACTATTAAGATCTGGAATGCATGGTCTAGTTTAGAATCATGTGTTCGAATAATAAACTGTCATGATAAAGCCGTAAAAGATTGTGTATGGGATCCAACTGGAGAGAAAATATTATCTTGTTGTTATGATAGGTCTTCTGCTTTAGTTTGTGTTAGAACAGGTAAGAAACATTGAGAGCAGTAATCTACATCATTGGTAGCATATTATCTATCTAAATATCAATAATGGATAACTTTTTTGCCGTCACCCATGTCCGTCCGTCCGTCGGTCCGTCCACAATTGCTCGTAAACACTCTACAAGATACAATTCTTGATGGATTTTAACAAAACTTGGTATGAATGTTCATAATCACCCAAGGATAAACCCTATTGAAAATCTGCAGAATCGAAAAATATTTAGTATGAGTTATTGCCCTTGTTTTTGAAAACGCTTCAATTTTCTGCTCGTAAACACTCTAGAAGGGACAATTCTTGATGGATTTTGACGAAACTTGGCATGACTGTTTGTTATCAACCAAGGATAAACCCTATTGAAAATCAGAAAAATCAAAAAATATTTAGTATGAGTTATTGCCCTTGTTCAAGTTTTAGCTCGTTAACACTCTAGAAGGCACAATTCTTGACAGATTTTGACGAAATGAGTGTTCGTAATCACCTAACGATGAACCCTATTGAAAATCAGAAGAATCGAAAAATATTTAGTAGGAGTTACTGCCCTTGTTCTTGAAAACGCGTTCAATTTTTAACTTGTAAACACTCTAGAAGGGACAATTCTTGACGGATTTTGACGAAACTTGGCATGAGTGTTTGTTATCACCAAAGAATAAACCCTATTGAAAATCAGAAAAATTGAAAAATATTTAGTATGAGTTATTGCCCTTGTTCTTGAAAACGCGTTCAATTTTTACCTCGTAAACACTCTAGAAAGCACAATTCTTTACAGATTTTGATGAAACTTGGTGTGAATGTTTGTAACCACCCAAGGATGAACCCTATTGAAAATCAAAAGAATCGAAAAATATTTAGTATGAGTTATTGCCCTTGTTCTTGAAAACGCTTTCAAATTTAGCTCTAAAACACTAAAAGGCATGATTATTGCTGGATTTTGATTTTGGTTTTCTTATTCAGTCCCACACTGAAGATTGAATATTTGCCTTCTAGAGTGTTCACAAGCTAAAAATTGAACACGTTTTCAAGAATAAGGGCAATAACTCAAACTCAATATTATTCAGTATCGCCCTAACAAGTTCAAAAGAAGTGTATGTCTGAAGATTGAATATTTCATAATGGTGATTGTTACTGTACTGCTAAATATTTTTATTCAAAATCAAAGCTGCCAGTTGGCGTATATTACTTTGCCTGGCAAGCTATCTTAAATTACAAGTTTGTTCAAAGTGTTTTAGAATTTTATCTGCTGTATATTGATAATATCTTTTAGGATTGATTTATTGGTTTATATATATACGTCATTAATAAACTTTGGGTTTGAATAACTTTTTAGGTAAAATCATCAATAGACTTGTACATGAAGGTTATGTATCATGTTGCAAATATCACCCATTAGATACCAATATAATTATAACAGGCTCAACCAATAAATTGGTACTATGGGATCTTCGGACACCAAATAAATCCACATCTAAATTTCATTACAAGGAGAAGATTGGACAGGTTTGTGCCTTTTTTGTTGTATAATCATTCAAGTATTAAGTAATTTAAGAATAACAAGTAATTTGTTTTATAATGTCTACATGGACCATGTATAAAGTTTGATTTTTCTATAGATTCAGGATGTAATGTTTGACCAGAATGGTAGAACAATATTTACTTGTAGTGATGTTGTAGACCAGAATTCATCTGATAGAAATATAATGGCCTGGGATTATACTACAGGAGCTGTTCTCTCTAATCAAATATATGAGGTCAGTATGACATGCATTTGCTTTTCAACCTGAATGTCTTTTTATAAGGGGTTAAAATCTACAATCATTGAATTCTGATATTTATGCAAGAAAAAAAGTATTACTCAAGCATAGATTTTAAACAAATATATTGGATACTTTGTGTAAGCTAATGTCCATGTCCTTTGAATTAGATTACCAATTGATACTGTATAAGGGGAATGTGCACAGAATAGAAAGAAAAGTGTCTTAAAAATGATCTGTGTTATACTGTGTTTCATTTTAATTTTTTTTTGTACTTATAGGAGAAGTATACGTGCAATAGATTAAAGTTACATTCTACTGATACAACCCAGTTTTTAGCCCAATCTCAAGGTGGTTATATAGCAATATTTTCAACAACTAGACCTTTTAAAATGAACAAAAGAAAGCGATTTGAAGGCCACAAGGTAAAGTGAATTATGAATTAATATGTTTTAAGCCTTATGACTCTGAATATTATCACATGATGGATATGTAATGGTTATTAGTCACTGTCAGTATCCCTTTAACTTACCTAAATTATCATACTCATACTTAATATATTTATGTTAAAAATTAGCCATGTTAAATAACAGCCATACTAAATTTTAGTCATGTATATAAGTTGTACAGTACTACATATTACTCGTATTTAAATTGAGCCATTATCATGTAATTATCATAGATCAATTTTATTCTTTGAATTTGTTTATATCTCTACATAGATATTGATTCTCTAACCTTGTATAATTTTATTTTGCAGTTACAAGGTAGAAGTATTGGGTTTGATATCAGTAATGATGGAGATATAGTCATATCTGGTAGTTTTGACAGAAAACTTTATTGTTATAATTATACCACAGGAAAACTATTTAAAACTATATCAACAAACTTAGACTACACAGATGTAGCATATCATCCTGTTTTACCCAGTGTCATTATAGCATCATCATGGGATGGACAGCTTCAATTATTGCGATGAATATTGGAAAAAAATGTATTTGATATCATCAAATTTTATCATGCACCATGCCAATATTTTATACATTTGTCAGAAATTAGTACATATTTTATAATTTATTCATAAATCTTTAACCTTTTTAGGTGACACACACATTCTGAATTTTCTATTAGAATTGGAAGATGTGTATATTTCACAGTAGCTCAAACTCTAATGCTTGATGCAATTGAGCCTGAATTTTTACCCTTGATCTGGAGGGGGAATAGTTAACAATGGTCACAGGCTGGATTAGAGGCATACATTTCAGACAGATTAGTTTAGCTGATCAATTCTATTTGTTTCCATGACTCAAGAACAATCGACCGACCGGCTTATATGGTGGACCATGTCCTTTTTCTCGTAATATCCTACAAGACGTGATTGTATGGCATGGGTTATTACTTATATCCCAGGGTATGAAATACATTTGATGACTCTAGAAAGCCTATTCAAGTAGAAAGAGATTAGCTAACTGGTTGCCTCCTGAATTGACCAAGGTTGGAGATACGAGTTGCTCCCCTTTATGGCTTTTATCCAATAGATGTAACATCTACATTAATTGTACAATCAAAATTTCACACATTGTCATTTCATCATCGAGCTTATACAATTCTACATTTTTAAAGTTGACAAATTGACAATTGAACTTGTAATGAACATTTACAAATCAATCTCAAAATTACAAATAGGCCTATACATTTGAACTTTTACAATTTGACAAATGCATTTTCTTCAAGTTATTATCCCCTTCCCAATGTCCGAGATCGGACGAATATGCATCAGGTTTCCTCAAAACAAGAAGATGTGTGCAGATGGTTGATATTCTACGGAGCCTTTAAGGCGCAATTGTAAACATATTTATTTATTATTTCGTTTAAACGAATTAATTATTTCGTTTAAACGAATTAATTATTTCGTTTAAACGAAATAATTATTTCGTTTAAACGAAATAATAATTTAATTCGTCTAAACGAAATAACATTTCGTTTTAACGAAATGATTCAATGATGAAATAAATGATGTTATTTCGTTTAAACGAATTAATTATTTCGTTTAAACGAAATAATTATTTCGTTTAAACGAAATAATAAATAAATATATTTACAATTGCGCTTTAGGGGCTCCGTAATATTCTATGCAAAGGCGAGATGGTCCATATTAAGGACACAGAGAGCAATATCGAAATTGTATAACAAACTCCATCTTCACAATGTCAAACCATTACGAACTACATCTTATTAAACCTTGACTGCAGCATCCGCCTTTCTTGTATCACGTAATGCAGCGAGTCGCAATTTACAAAGGTTCGTGATGCAAGAAAGGTAGCTATTGCAGTCAAGGTATAAGACGCAGTTCGTAATAGCTTGAAAATGTGAAGATGATCAAACTATAGTTAATATCATTACCCTTCAAAGAAAATAAGGTCAGATTTTTGTGTTGATTTTAATGAACTTATGAACGTATAATTATTGTGAACTGACAATGTAGAAATTGGCATTGCTAAGTGACCGTGATCTTTGTCAACTATTCTATTGCAAAAAGAATATTTAGTATTTACACTGTATAGCTAAGTGGGCTGTATTTGATTGTTAAAAACCCTCTATTCAAAGCACTCTGAATTAATATAAAAATAGTTCTCTAACGGAGAAAATCACACTATGTCTTATTAATATCCCACAGTATTATGCGACAATGATATGAATATATAGAGATACATCAAATACGTAAAAGGAAAACCTCGTTAAAGAAAAATTTAAACTTATTCTACGGTAAGCATGAATTTTACATTTTACATCTTGATAGAAGAAGCTCCACGGATGACAGAAACTCAAAGCATAATAAGAGGGTTTTAAGGAATTTGTGTTAGTGATGTCATCCTCATAATCTGATCGAGTCTTTCCAGAACTCATAAAAAGAAAAATGCAAATAGAAGCATGGAAAAGCTAGTAAAATAAGGTTCATGCAAACTTATCGTGTCCTATTATATTATCAACAAATTCCAATGGATGAAAGAATTGTCCAGGAGAGGAATTTTCAAACTGAAACGTGGTTAATTTTCAAACAAAATTTCTGGTAGGATAATCAGTTGTTGATCATTTCAAGTAAAATTATTATTAGATTTTTAAAGATATACTTATCCCAATGACACACAATCCAAAGTTTAATTTTGAATTTTCAAGAAATGAATTCAAACATCACATGGGACGGAGAGTAATATCTTCGCTTGACACATTCTCTGGTTTTTTTCTTCGTTCTCTGTGGTAAGAATGCCTATAAGTTCGGTGTATTATTTCATTTTATATTTTTATCACGACCGACCAAGTGCGATGTTCGTTACTAGTTCTACCTCGTTTAAAGATATGGTCCTATAGTTATCGACAAATTCTACAAGTGAAAGACCTATGATAACAATCGCACCGTACTATGTATAAAACCTTATTGTTTCTGATAATGAACGATGATAAAGTTGAGGGTATCACAAGGCAGATATTATAATAGACAAGCTAGAATCTATTTAATCATTCTAAGACATCTATTGTTCTGCAAGTTGATTAAGTTGTCATTAGTTGTATTTTATTCTAATTTATTCTCATCAACACCACTATAGCTTATTGATTATCGATATATCTTACTAAATTCTACTTTTTATTTCAGCATTTTCTTTACTTCTTATTATAGTTCTGTTGAACGAAAGGAATCAGAGGTAAGGAAATTTGTATTAATGTACGTAAATATACCAAGTTTCACTCTAATCTGATCGAAACTGGAGTCTGTATTTATACGCTCACTAACAAATAGTATGGACGTTATTCCATTTACCAATATCCAATTAAGGGTCCTTGCGGAGAATTAGTGCCTTTCTGTAAGATTTCTAGTGGATTAGTAGGCATTGTCTATCAATAGTTGTTTTATACGCCCACATGGAAATGTGGACGTCGCCCCTGTCCGTCCATCCGGTCCGTCCGTTCACATTTCTTGAATGCACGATAGAGGCTATAGTTTTTATCTGATCTTAATGAAACTTGGTATTCGTGTATATATTGATGAGATCTCAGTCAAGTTCGAATTAGTAATAATTGGATGAACAGTTTCAGAGTTATTGTCCTTGACATAGTCAAAACGCGTTAAATTTGGCTTGTATGCAGGATAGAGGCTACAATTTTTATCTGATCTTGATGAAACTTGATTTCCATGTATGTATTGTTGACATCTCAGTCAAGTTCAAAATTGGTAATGATCTGATGAATTTTCAGAGTTATTGCCCTTGACTTAGTAAAAAACACGTCAAATTTGGCTTGTAGGCACGATATAGACTACAGTTTTTATCCGATCTTGATATAACATGGTATGTATGTATATATTGATGAGATCTCAGTCAAGCTCGAATTTGGTAATAATCATAAACGGTTTCAGAGTTATTAGCCTGGACTTAGTAAGAATGCGTCAAAATTGGCTTGTCTTTATCTGATCTTGATTATACTTGGTATGCATGTATATATTGATGAGATCTCAGTCAAGTTTGAAATTGGTAACAATCGGATAAACGATTTCAGAGTTATTGCCCTTGACTAACTAAAACATGTCAAATTTTGCTTATAATTATTGACCTTGTGTGTAACGTCGATGAGACTTTGTTCATTTTGAATTGGACGATAATTTGATGAACTGTTTTTTAGGTTTTGCCTTGACTTATAAATGTTTTTAAGATAATCAGAAAATAAATATTTTGTTAACATTTCTTACAGCTGGCAGTGGGCGTATTTTACCTTGCCTGGCAAGCCATCTTTAGTTAATGTTCTTGATTTTACTGAAATGTGCCACGATTGAATTTGTTTGTGAAGCCTATAAGAAATTAAATCTGGAAGGAGGGGTCAGAACAGAAGCAGAGAGTTTCGTGGTTGAAGGGAAGACTAAGTTTTTATCTAAATCTGCTTCTAATGGGATATAACAAAAATTAATCCTAATATTGGTAACAATTAGCCAGAAATAATCTAATAATCTGATAAGAGATGGATAAATCGTACTTGACGGGACTAATGTTACTAGGTTGGATTAGATTAAAGGATTAACTAATTCTTTAATCGGGTCCTATGATCTCTTCACTATACTTTTCTTATTCCAATTGTCGATATCTGTGCACAAAAATGTCTCTATTCTTTTTATATATTTATTTTTTAAATGTTATATTCCAGGTATTTGGAAAACTAGAACCTGTTTGACGGACCAATCTGTACAAAAGTTCTTGATGAGGTGGTTTGGTATTGATAATTAATTATAGTTGATTTTTTTTGTTACACAGTATGTGCTTTTTGGATATTTTATGAAATAAGACACTCTATATATCGTGTGCTTTATGTTCTGGATTTAGCAGTCTAAAAACTAGGTATTTCGGTTTTCTATTTTCAACTCTGGGGAAAAAACACGAAGGAATTTAATTTCGGAACATATTTGAGGGGCTTACCATAAATACCGAAGCCCCTCGGAGGTCTAGGGTCTGCCAGATACCCACGGATTTCAGGTGGCTTGAGATGAAGTTTGAGCATTTAGTCTTAGGGTGTATTGAGACGAGTCTCAATGAAAGCACTGGCCTAGGTCACAGAGCAATAGATGAGTCTATTAATTATGTGAAAATTAGTTAGTCATTAGTATGATTTTAGTTGAAAAGACACACACACAAACATACACTGCATGTTATATAATATACTGTATATAGCCATGGCACCAGTCCTGAAATAAGTATTCCCTGAAATCTAACTTAGAAATCGATTAATTTATTGATAGAACATGATACATTTATATTAGGAAATCTTTTAGTAGATTGCTTGATTTAACTTCAATATAAGACCTTTCACAGGCCCGAGGGATGGGGCATAGAGAATAAAGATACATCCTTTGATGATCTAAAACGTTTAACACACTTCTTTAAATTTTCGATACTTCATTTCAGAATTTGAATCTTCAAAATGGAACTGCTTGAAAACAGTCAAAAGAAAATACAGCTACGTGCACTACAGGTAGAAAGACGCAGATTTGAGTTAGAAATGGGCAATTTTGATAAAGCTAAACGATGTATTTCAGTAGATATGAGAAAAGCACAAACAGAAATGAAACGGAGACTAAAACGTTATAAAGAAAGACAGAAAGAGATATCCGTAACGCGTGGTGAACCAGAAATATATGGGCAATTTATTACCAGACCCAAAACTGCATCTAGTAGAATGACGTCACGACCAACTACATCCTCATCATACATCAAACGTATGGGGGAATTCTTAGACGCAGACGATTGTGATCGACAGTTAGATCCGACATTTTTAACAGATCGAACAAAATCTAAAATTGATTTGCGACCAAGTTCGGCTTGGACATTTCGAAACCAACCACGACCTGACACTCAAAATTTAGAGTATCGGCGTCTTGGAATATCTTTAAGAACTCAGAATCTGGGAACTCCGGCATCGCAAATACGGTACTATGACGACGAGGAGTTACATGAACGTAATCTAATCTATAGACAAATATTACAGCAACGCAAACAGAGAGAAAAAGAACAATTTAATAAAATTGCCATGAAAGTTGCAGACTTCTGTGATGTGGGAAAGAAATCTATAAATAAAAGCTTTAAATGTTGTCTGCGTCTTGATTGTGTTATTGCGGCGAAAAAAACTATTTCTGTCAGAAAAGTTGATTTGCCCCGCCAGACCAAACCGTTCATTAGCAACAAAGCGGTATCTTTTAATATTAGTTGAAGTTGTAGGTTTCTTCAGCCATGTGTGTTTGCTGTGCATATGTTGTGATTTTCAGTTGTATGTGTTTGCTGAACCCATTGTGTGCGATGTTTGCTGTGTATATAATTTGTTGATCCTTAGTTTGGTTTCCTCATTTTTCTGTATCCATATTTCTTTTTTATTTTCTTCTGTTATTTCACTGTGCTTGTCAAAATTTACATATTCCTAATTTTTTAATGACGAACCAATTAGCCTCTTTTTCTCTCTTTTTGCTACTATTTAGTTCTATGACTTCTAGAAGGTAGTATCTGCTTCAATCTTATTAAAGGGTCAGGTTGGCCATTTTTAGGGGTTATTCTGGGTCTTAATTGCATGTATATGTAAATAGGTTTCATTCGTACTAGAACGGTACCATAAGAGATTCTGTGCGATGTCTGTGCGGCACTGAAAGCATCATAGTAAACATTATGATAAATTCAAGGTTTCCACAGACTGGCACAGAATCAAACAAAATGGTAGATATTATGTTGCAAAACTGAATTGGGCCACTGGAAAATGGCGACTTCAATTGGATAAATTAGTTTTGTTTTTATAACAAGAACAAAAACCTTTAATATGCTTCATCAGTGATCTCAAATTCACAAAACTAAGGCGTACCATTCCTTTAATTACAGATGTACCGGCGACGGATTTTCGTTTTGAAAAATGGCATGAATAGCTCTATCATTCAAGATGGAAAAGAATGGATAAGCTAGGATCTATAAAAGGAGTAAGTGTACTCTGTACAGCGAACTGCAATCACCAATAAGAACCTTCAGATAATATCAATATAGAATCAGAAAAATATTTCAGATTCTGAATAGTTCTTCTCCAATGGGCCGAGATATGATGTCTCGGGGAAGCTGACACGGTTGTTCGTCTATTTAAACAGAATTCGCCAAGTTACATCCGGTTTTTATTTCATTAACGGATATTGGACTGGCATATTGGTGTAATTGTCTATTTCACCCCCAGTAGCCTTCCTTTCTTTATTCAGAAATAAATCGGCACATCCTGTTAGCAATTAACAGTTGGGATGTAGAGATACCGGAGGTAATGTTTAGAACTCAATCAATTAGTCCAACTTGAGTATTTCCTAGAAATTTATAAGTCAAGAATCTTAACAGACCAATATTAGTCCCAGACATCAGTCGTAAGAACCCAGCGTTTTTATGAGATGTATAGAGAGTGTAAGAAACCATGATCTTGTTGAATGGTTATTAAAAAATGAAACAGTTTCGCCTGAAATCTTCCGACAGCTTCTCGAAAACATCTTGAATGGGATGATCTGTGGTATCGGTTTTACATAATTCTGAAAGAAATAAACTGACAAAGATCATATAAATATGCTTACGAAAGTTTCACCAAAATCACAAGAAAAAACTACTGTTCTCCGCCTATAAAGTTCATAGATAAAAAAACAAACAGACCCACAGAAAAGTTTCAATAAGATTCTGTAACAAAGTGAAAGAATAAGTTCGAGAGGTAATGTTTTGAAATGAACTGATTAATTTCAGATCGACGTAAAGGGAGACAGAATAAGTCTAAATACAACCCCATTCCATTTGCTGTTGCTCACAAAGTCTATAATTACACAACTGAGAGTCATACCAGGTCACAAACAGCTAGTTCGGTGGATGCAAAAGTAAATTGCGAACTATTTACATTAGCCAATCAGAGTGTTGGTTGCTAAGTTTTCTAGCAGATGCCAATTAGATGGGTCTTTCGTTATCAGTTTTCTCAGGATTCTACTTTTTCCTTAACATCGACATACAAAATAGACTTACAACGTTTCAAAAGATCAATGGGTTAATACTCATAGCATAAAATATTACTAAAACGGATTTATTGACCATTCCCAAAAGTAAGTTTATAAATTGAATTAGAATATTTCATAATATACTTTATTTTAGGACGGGAAGAAACCACTACACCACATTAAAGACCCTGGTTCGGTCTATTCCGGTTCATCCTCAATCAATGATTCATTCACAGTGAAATAAAAATAGGATGATTCTTGGAATCCTATTACGATACTTGTAGAAACATCAAGCTTATAAACCGTTTAAATATAACTTTTAATTCAAGATATGTGACATCGCCAAAACCACGATTACTTGTTACATGTATAATTACAAAATTGAACATTGATTACTATTAAAAGCTGAAATCAACCCACAATTGTATAAAATAAGAATAAATTTACTAATACTAGTACAATCGGGTAACAACAATGTCCTGAAACGTTTGACATAAAATAATGCTCATGAATGACTACAATGTAAGTCGTCACGATAGCAGAACAGTTCGTTTGGCAAGCGCCAATTTATAATCATCAGATAACAATAACTTAGAAAGTTCCTCATGGTTTTCTGTCTAAGTTGGTTGGACTGAGCACAAAGTTACTAGAAGCCTACATGATGGCTGAGAGTAACGACTGGCACATCCGACCAGACGTAAGAGTAATGTAAAACGTTGCCATCATGGTTTAAGTGTACAAAATTACTTTAAATTCATACGGAATATTTTAACAGCCAAGTCCTTCCTGAATCCCCTGTTCAATAGACTATATATGACTGGGTTGATGGCGCTGTTCACATACGATGATCTCACACATAAATTATAGATCAGTGTTTCATGCACGTTTTCGCTTGATACGAAATATATTTCGGACGCTCTTAATATATTGACGATGAGAAAAGGTAGAAATGAAAGAACAAATGATACAGTCACAGCCAAAAATATCACAGTCATTCGTCCAGTTTTTACTTTTAGTTGACCCAAGTGTTGGGTCTCCTTGTTCTGAGATGTCCGAGATCGCATTGACATACACATACAATTACTAGCAATAGGAGATATTGGCTGATTTCCAATTCCATTTCCTTTCCTGTCTTGACTTGATGTGATTAATCGTAAATTTCCACAGTATTTACGCATTCCATCGCCGAGTGGGACTTTACTCCTTCTGTTAAGATAAACTCCAATTAAAATATAGAATACTAGAAAACAAATCAAACTGAATAGAAAGGTAAATAATAAGAAGGTGTAATAAACAATCCTAACGGGACTGTGTAACAGATTATCATTGGTAGAACATTCTTTACCTGTTACATCTGGAATATGTGTTTTTACTGTTCTACTGCCAAATATCACTAACGCTGGTGCTGCCATTACCAACGCTGCAATAGCACTTGCAATACACAGAGGCCTGATACGCCTCTCAAGATCTTTAAATGGTTTGAATATTTTCCGATATCTGACATACGCTACACATATTAACGTCAAACCAGATAGTCCCTGCAACCATGTCGTCAAGAATCTGAAGAATTTACAGGCTGCGACGGAATCAAACGTATAAGCCAGTAACACGTCCGTCAATTCGAATGGAACGCACACACAACACGATATCAAATCCAAACAAGCCAGATATACGAGGAAAAATTTGGTATTTCGCTCAGTTAATTGAGATTTGAATATATAACAAACAGCACTATTACCAGGTATACCTACTAATAATATTAATATTAAATATATGACTACTGGTAATTGTTGTAATCTAAACTCTTGATTAATATCATCAAACAATACTGTCAAATTATTTACCTCCGTCACATTCATAGTTACATCTGAAATAAATAAAATGTATCATATCTTAATATGCCAATGTTACGAGTTTATGAAATGCTTTTGATACGACAGTCACGTGAAGATATTTATGTTCAATCGTATATTAGATTGTGTAAGATTATCTATGCCAAATATATACTTAGGTACAAAACATACACCCACGCTATAATTTTTTTTATTATATAACTATTCTTAAAAAGCACAACTTTACCGATAGAGCGTCGTCATTCCCAACATCTATAAGAGGAATTACAGATTAGATGAAAACATATCATGAAGGTTCAAAAATCTTATAATTGCATACATACACATAAACATGTGGTCGTTCGTCTGCCGGTTCACATAATTTTAGACTTGGATGAAACGTAGTAATCACAGTCACTTAATATATATCATAATTTTCCAAATTTTCGAATTTTGTATTACGATTGACCGTTTTATGTCATTGACATTGACTTAAAAAACTATTGACAAAATTGGTTTGTATTATTTTATTAAAATTGAGTATACATCGATGAAGATTTGAATTAAATAATTTCAATTAGTAGTTTCGAGCTTTTAGCACTGAAGCAGACAAAATTACTAACATAATCATAAAGCCTATCGATATGGCAAAAAAACTGGGTTGTTATTGACAAGAAAATATTATAATTTCTGATCGATGTCACGTATGTACGTTACCTTGTCTGGAAAGCTACCTTTTTCGATTTGACTTGAAAATATATATAGTTTCCAACACAAATTTAATTAACTCTATGACTTATAAGTATTAGAAAATTACTTGAATTCGTGAGATTTGTGTCTTAATTGTCGTAAGTGAACTCATAAATACAACTTGAAGCCTTTCGAATGCACGATCAAAAACAATAAATTATCGCCAAAAAAAGAATTTCCAAAATAATAGAAATCCTTTTTCAAGTTAATCAACTGTTTGATTATAAAGCTCTTACTTATAGATCTAGATATCTAGTTCATTTTATCTAGGCGTCCATATTGTCTACATCCTTAAGACACATTATTCCATCAAGTTATAAATACCAATATTCTTAACACATTTATTCCATTCTGCTATCAGACTGAATACAATTTAACATGTAATGTGTGATGATATCCACACGTCCACACGGTATAGTTAATAACATGTTATAAAACACACAATCTTTGTACTTCTCGAAGTTTTATACATGTCTAGTCTTTCATATAATCTTTCAAGTATCTTCCTACGTTAACCAAGTCCGAGATACCAATTTTGTTGGTCCTAATTGGCTCTAGAACTTTTTGGTAAATTCAGTGTTACAAAAAATACATGATGTTCTATTTCCATTGGTACCATAAGCGTCAAATATGGGAATTTGAGTGAACATCAAATCAAAACCTCTTTACCATCTCTTTATATGATATCTGTAAATCAGTTCAACCCGATATCGGTATTTCGATATAGATGGAATCAACGTTTTATTTAATATATAGAACTATTTGATTTTTTATCAGTGACTTGGACAACAAAAGAATTACATTATGAATACTCTTAAATAAGAAGGACTGTATAAACTAAGACGTCATATATCTTCTCATGAATATCAATATTACCTTTTCTTATTATTCTGAATATTACAAACATAACCCTTACAGTGCTATTACAAGTCTACTTCATTACATGAAATTGTGCATATTGCGTAATCCGCTCGGATATTGTATCAACATGAAGTCATACTATGCCATTTGACGCGTTCCGTCACAATGCCTGTTTTTATGAGCTCACCCCCCCCCCCCCCCTACCCCCTCCCAACCTTCAAGGAAAAGGAAAGTCAGATTTTAACTCGGCTAGGGGCATAAGGGGATCATCAGCAAAGCAAATTTTTCAGATGTCAATAGACAAGTATATAGCTATTGGGTTAAATAGCAGCCGATATTCGTAATCATACTATATAATTTGTATAAATACGAACCTATATCCAGACCGGGAACATTCAAATCAAGTCTCACTATTAAAATAAAGTATTATCATCTGTAGAATGATATACATTTAATCAGCTGTAAACTACACTTTAAATAGAATGCAATTAGACTATCCTGCCTTCTGTCCGGATTGAACTGTTCTTAAACTTTGATTGGTGAATATAATCTAATATCCTGTTTAACGTAATGATAGTAATTTAATAGTATGTTTCAGACAGCAGTATTTCTGAAAGTTAGTTAGTGGAAATTTCAAAACTTTAGAAAGAAAGTCCGGTTGGAGCCGATTTCCTTAATTCCAGTAAAAGATTTTATAGTTTAAAGGAATAGTCTGACTCAACATTTGAAAATATTAATTCCTTCCATTATGACCTATTGACCTTCTGATCATATTGGTATAAGCCACAGAAGGGCACCCTTACTATGCTGCTATACATAAGACAGAGTGTGTTATATAAGTGTGTAAGAAATGCCAAACATCCGTTAATGATCGCCGAGTCACATTTACACGGCCAGCGTCGTATTTAGGGGCCATGTTCCTCTCCTCAGACTGAGGGCAAGTGAAAACTAACCGCTTTTAATGCTCAAAATCCATATCAGGCCATCTGAAATGCACCTCTCATTTTTGCCCCCCTAGTTAGGGCATTTTCTCGATACACCCCAGATCCTGTGTTTGGCAATCTGTTCGTGAATACCATTCTACACGGTGGCAAAGACGCTGCAAAAAAGGCTACATTTCTTCACGTTTTTCGGTGACCGAGTATATTTTCCAGCCGCTCAAAAATATTTCGTTCTGATAAAAATATATGAGAAAAAAGAAAAAAAAGTATGAGGCAGTAAAGTTGCGCATGAACCCCGAGTCATTCCCTGCCTTGATAAAGTTAAAATAACAACAGACTAAGCGGAAGGCAGGAACTTAGTTGACTATAACTATTGTAATTAAATATTCTTAGCGAGGCCACACTTCCTCTGTATATAGCTTTCTTTCTTTTCTTCTAATCAATATTATCTGAAATCTTAAAACGGTTTCATTGAATTAAGATGCCTACAATCCAATTTTGAGATTTCACGAAACTCATTGCCGTACTGATCTCATTGACTTACATACTCGGCTTCACAAACCATGGAGGGAAAGTTTTGAATTCATCAAAAGGAATGATTCAAATTCGAGATCCCGTTATAGCCCATACAGCAAAAAGGCGACGAAAAATAGTGTAACCAGAAGCGTGGTATGAAAGCAATTTGAATGTGACATCTTGCGTTTCGAACACGCTCATACTACGCTTATGAAGATTCATATTTTAGCAGCGTAGTGAGGACGACTTTCCGGTGTTACGGGAATACTTGATCTCAGTCTACATATACATATACAGTAGACGAAGATAGTTAATAATGACCAAAAAGTTTAGTATATATTTTATTCTAATTTTATTTGCATTTAAGTGATATAGATATAAAAAAAAACCAATAAATATTCACTTCTCTTATATAAATTTTACACCAAAATGTTTTTGACTGAAACCAGCCCTGTATGAAAATGATAATTTGAGTAAATGGAGTCATGTCAACAAAACAACGTTTTAAGATTTAAACGGGATATTTTGATACATTTTACATTCATTATTTTGATCGTGAGATCCTTTCGTAGCTGATGGATGGCACTGTTATATGATTGTATATTGAGCGGTCGACAGATTATTATCGTATTAATGACATTTTAATTATTTCAGGAACAAGTGACTCCATGTTAGCATGCCATACAATCTCGTCAGTGTGAACTCTCAATTGGTCAACAGGTTGGAGAATACGACATGTCAAACAAGAATCGTCACAAATTGCACCAAACCACCAACCAGCACCCATCGTATAAGCACAATGATCTGGATTTTCATCATTTTCCTTATCGAATGTCGAAAACATTTTGCCATTGGAGCCTGAAAAACTGTCGCCCATAATTTTGGAGGAACCGCCATAGGTACTTGTGAATGTCATCACGTAAAACCATGATTCATCATGCACAGTAAAGTTTTTGTAGTATTGGGTATATCTAGTGTCATTTGCTAATCTCCACGATAATTTCAATGTACTTTCTCTATCCACGGTAAGATGGTGTATATTTTCTAGCCCAAGCCAATAATCACCAGACGGAGTGCCGAAGAAACCCTTATAACCAACCCAATCACGAAAAAAACTTAGACTTGAATCCGACCTAGACATGATAACAGTTTCTTCGTTTCTACAAAACGCTTGAAAACTCGTAGGTGCTGCAAGAGGTTGAAGAAACTGAACACCGTTTGGTACACCAGTTTGGTAGCCTTCCATACAATCTGAAACAAAGACAAATATTGACCCACTTCTTTAAATGTGATATAAGGGATGTTTCTTTACTCTTCTACCTATTTTTCAACCTTTTCCTTTGTTTTACCCGTTTCAAGATACTTGATTGATTGCATTACCCCCCTTCGACATAGGAATGCTTACTTTGTCGTGATTTTATCTTAGGTTTTTCTTACAATCTTTATTATGTCTGAGAATATAGTCTGATTAAATACATTCACTATTATAATATTATAATTGTCTAAAAAATAATGTTCTACAGTAAATCCTGTTATCATTATGCCCGTGTAAGAATTAGTATATACATTGTATTTAATTTTCATTTTGAAAAGTGTTACGGAAATCTATCATGCGGTTAAAGTGGAAATGACAACCCTGATAAACCAGACATGTTTCGCAGAAACGTTGTTACCTCTTATAAGTCGTTGACAATGTTCTCCAGCATAGCCATCTGGGCATGCACATACATTTGAAATAATAACTCCACCATTCTGACACTGAATTACATTTGAATGCTGTAAGAAAGGAATTACATTTGTATAGTTAAATTCGATTCTATTCACAAAAAGGTTAAGTAAATAAGGAGTGGTGTTTAGTTCACAAAGTTCAGTGTAATATCTGGTAGTATGATAATCTACCAATAAAATCGTTAGGAATGTTAGAATCCGTATATTGAATTGAAAAAAAAAAATAAGTAAAACGAAAAAAGTAGAACAACATATCCGAAAAGTCAATTTCTTTGTTAGAGTTCTCAAGTGAGCAATAAAACTTTTAGATGTTCGGAAATATATATAATATCTAAAGCGCGCCAGCAAGAACTGTCGGTTACTAAAACAGTAATCAAAATATACCTAGTAAGCAAGAGAACCGCAGGTTACTAAAACACTTAACAAGATACCTAGTAGACAAGGAAGAACTGTCGGTTACTAAAACAGTAATCAAAATATACCTAGTAAGCAAGAGAACCGCAGGTTACTAAAACACTTAACAAGATACCTAGTAGACAAGGAAGAACTGTCGGTTACTAAAACAGTAATCAAAATATACCTAGTAAGCAAGAGAACCGCAGGTTACTAAAACACCTAACAAGATACCTAGTAGACAAGGAAGAACTGTCGGTTACTAAAACAGTAATCAAAATATACCTAGTAAGCAAGAGAACCGCAGGTTACTAAAACACTTAACAAGATACCTAGTAGACAAGGAAGAACTGTCGGTTACTAAAACAGTAATCAAAATATACTCAGTAAGCAAGAGAACTGCAGGTTACTTAAATTGTAAACAAGATAACTAGTAGACAAGGAAGAAATGTCGGTTACTAAAACAGTAATCAAAATATACTCAGTAAGCAAGAGAACTGCAGGTTACTTAAATTGTAAACAAGATACCTAGTAAGCAAGCAAGAACTGCCAGTTACTAAAACAGTAAACAAGATATATCTAGTAAGCAAGAGAACTGCTGGTAACTAAAACAGTAAACAAGATACTCAGTAAGCAAGTGAATTAGGTTATTAAAACAGTAAACAATATACTTTGTAAACAAGGAAGAACTGTCGGTTACTAAAACAGTAAACAAGATACCTAGTAAGCAAACGAACTGTAAGATATTGAAACAGTAAACTAGATCTCAAGTAAACACGAGAACTGTAAGATATTTATACCGTAAACTAAATCTCAAGTAAGCAAGCGAACTGTAAGATATTATAACAGTAAACTAGATCTCAAGTAACCAAGAGAACTGTAAGATATTAAAACAGTAAACTAGATCTCAAGTAACCAAGAGAACTGTAAGATATTAAAACAGTAAACTAAATCTCAGGTAAGCAAACGAACTATAAGATATTATAACAGTAAACAATATCCCAAGATATTAAAACAGTAAACTAGATCTCAAGTAAGCAAACGAACTGTAAGCTATTAAAACATAAAACTAGATCTCAAGTAACCAAGAGAACTGTATGATACTATAACAGTATACTAGATCTCAAGTAACCAAGAGAACTGTAAGATATTAAAACAGTAAACTAGATCTCAAGTAAGCAAACGAACTGTAAGATATTAAAAAAGCAAACTAGATCTCAAGATATTAAAACAGCAAACTAGATCTCAAGTAAGCAAACGAACTGTAAGATATTATATCAGTAAACTAGATCTCAAGTAACCAAGAGAACTGTAAGATATTTATACCGTAAACTAAATCTCAAGTAAGCAAACGAACTGTAAGATATTATAACAGTATACTAGATCTCAAGTAACCAAGAGAACTGTAAGATATTTATACCGTAAACTAAATCTCAAGTAAGCAAACAAACTGTAAGATATTATAACAGTTAACTAGATCTCAAGTAACCAAGAGAACTGTAAGATATTTATACCGTAAACTAGATCTCAAGTAAGCAAACGAACTGTAAGATATTATAACAGTATACTAGATCTCAAGTAAGCAAGAGAACTGTAAGATATTATAACAGTAAACTAGATCTCAAGTAACCAAGAGAACTGTAAGCTATTAAAACAGTAAACTAGATCTCAAGTAAGTAAACGAACTGTAAGATACTATAACAGTAAACTATATCACAAGATATTAACACAGTAAACTAGATCTCAAGTAAGAAAGCGAACTGTAAGATAAAAACATAGTAAAATAGATCTCAAGTAAAAAAAGCGAGCGGTAAGATATAAACATATAAAGTAAAATAGATCTCAAGTAAGCAAGCGAAATGAAAGACGTGAAACATGAAACCAAGTAAGCAAACTGAAATATATTAAAACAGTAAACAAGATACCTAGCAAGCAAGAAAAATGTAAAATATTTAAACAGAAAACAAGATAACGAGTAACCAATATTTTACCTGTTTCGAAACTTACCTTATCGTAATGAAGAGTTGGTATGTCAGCCATTGTCATCTTAGAACAGTCTCCTGGATCTTTGTCATTATTTAATGTACAAGTTTGAAAAGTAAAATCAAAAGATTTGCAGTTGTTATCGCGAGAACATCTTTGAGCACAAGTGTTTAGGGTATCATTTATAAAGGTCTCGTAAGCATAACCCAATTCCATCACTTTAGCATTACATGGTGATACATAAAACATATTCTCTGCATATCCAGCTGCGGATCTAAAGAGGAGGAAATAAAAAGCCAGCCACATAATGACCACTATAAACTTACAAGAATGTGAAAAACTCTCGCGCACTTACTACTGATTTTGGTTCAATAGAAGCTCAAGATGGTGATTTTAAAAGAATAATACCATTTTTTTCAATTTGTATGTAATTTATGTTGTGTTATGTTATGTGATTGTGATCTAGACTAGTGAATGAAAACCAATACACGAATTCTAGTCATAAATTAAAATTCACATCGGATGTAACTGGCTAATGATATGAAACTGTGGTTAGTGGTCCTGAAAGGGCAACAAATGAAATGAAATGAAACGTCCTACTCTTCTGCACCATGTGGGCTAATGAATAAGGGCAACGCCATGCAGGGTGCAATGAGGGAAATTTCGCCAGGACAGCGGCATTAGTCTGCTCTTTTTCGCTTTCCAACTGTCGAGGGATCTTTAACGCGTACAGCCTGTAGTACACGGGGTCTCGGTTTATTGTCCCATCCGAACGACTTGACGCTTTTTCCATGTCAGCTCCTCTTACCTGCATCACTGACAGGGGGAAACTGCGTTGAAAAATCCGAAGGTATTATCTCGACCTATGCCGGGATTGAACCCTGGACCTTCAGGTTAGCGAGCCACCGCGTCTACACTGAAAGGGCAACGTTGTCCAAATGTTCTTAAAGAATAAAACACAAAGCTAAAATATTGTAATAAGGAATGACCCACTTAAAATGAAAATATTTCACATCTCAAATTGCTAATAATTCGTAATAAAAATGCATTTATTTCGAAAGATGGTTAATACGTTAAATAAAAACATAGAACTATAGAATTGTTGCTGGAATATCTGTTTTGAGTTAACTCCTTTTAACTCAACCTGTCTGAAATGCCGAACGACACCCATTTATCATATTTGCCAATAATGTCATGATGTCGACTTTAAAACTTTTTGAGAAAAGAAATTCACTGTAACATTGTGCATTATCGATAAAGGTGCAAACACTGGGCATTCACATTTAAAAGGTCATCTGAATATACGATATTATGTATTTTCCTTTAACATTTGATAAAAATGGTGGAATCATCCTTTTAACATTTTTTAAAACATTAATTCAGATTAACTATTATCAATAATCAATTGAATCAATTGATCTTACGACGAAATATGGTCATCGAATGAGTACATCATTGATTAAAAAAACTTTCTTTGTCCGAAAAAGTAATTAAATCAAAGATTTTCAGTTTAAGAAAAAGTTCAATACGCCCATGTAACATATTTATATCATCAAAGGTTATAATTTGTTTTTTTTAATTTGTTACATCGTTGTCCAGCATTTATTTTTTGCAACATATTAAAGCTTAGGTGAGCTCATAGCTCAAGTACAGTTTAACGCAAAAACTTTTGAATACTTTAAAATTATATAATTATTCCACTATCTCACAAAAATGTATCTTGAAGTTGTAGCAGTAGTTAGTACTATACATGTACTTCGTATGTTAAGTGTCAACGAAGTTTAACAATTTTTTAAAGCGTAGTACTTGATTTTATTTTTGATCAAAAACATATCGAGTTCGGCTTCGCATTGCCTAATAAAAGGTGTCTTAATGAGTTATTGAGTCTCCGTCCATTTATTCTATTACTGGCTACTGGTCCACATTAACGAGGAGTTCCAGATATCGTATTATCGCATTAAAAATTTCAAAAGACAAGTATCCTGACTAAATCTGTTTAAATGCAAACTTTCTGTGGTTTACTACACTCGCAATCTACATAAAAATCAATGAAACACAATTTGTTCTCAGATTATAGATGACATGTTCAGTTCGTCCAGAAATAACCGCAAGAAATTTCTAGATCCGCATTTGATCAAGAGACAGGGAGCGATTCCGATTTAACATTTGACGAACAGCTATACCTAGAACATCTCTTGAACGACTAGTACTAGAAGCATCTAGATGAATATGATCAATAAGCAAACGACATACAATAACGTCAGAGAATCATTTTTGTTCGTGTTCTTCGTTAGGCTAAAACTGAAACCAGACCCGTAGCCAGGCTTGATTGTTTTAGGGGCAAGTAATATATCCGGATGGGCAATGGTGTATGGTGTTTAGTTGAAGTAATGAAATTGGTCGGGTGTCCAGTGTAGCTACGACCTGACTGAAACTAAAATATATCGGTTAGCAGTCGGTTATTAATTCACATACAAATTCACTACATTGGCAAAAAGTTAGTTATTTTACACAATATAACACTAATGTCAGTTGATTATTGGATGAATACAATATGCACTTTGAATAAGTTCACCCAAAATATCTATGCCTGACATCGACAATAACCCCAACTCCGACGCCAATAGCTACACCATATACAAATATACCAACTACAATAGCCCATATAACAAATAATTTAGCAGATCTAGCTAATTTCTTGGCGTTATATATATCACCAGCCGACTTTAGTCTTCTAGCCTGAAAGTATTCAATTTGTTTCATAAAAAAACAACGTCAATTTGTATAGTTCAAGAATTGTAATGATCTGCAACGACATAGCTTACTGAGACTTCTACATCATTCAGACCTTTGGACATAAAGTTGGATTAATTTAGCTTCTAAAATTGTAATATTAGTTGCGTATGGTTACAAATAATGAAATGAGTCATGAGTACCGAACGCAGCTCATAACTTGCGTTCGAAACTAAAGACCGCACTACTTACTCGCAACCATGCGCAACTTATGATCGTTATGGTGTGAGAGCCCCTCAAAACATTGATATCAATATAGATTTTTCCGATTGAACCGTCTCAATATCTGGCACGTTAAAAAAGTTACTTTTTTATACCTTATTATTTCTGAGGATTGCTAAGATTCCCAATGGCCAGAAACAAAATATAGAGGAAAATAAGGCGAGACTCATGTAGTCTGGTACAGCATCTTTCATTTCCAATTCCTCTTCTTCCTGGAGCAAGATATAAGTCACTTTACTGTTTATACGCTATGGTTTGCTATAGAAAAATTACTATTACTATTACATTTTACATTTCTCATACATCATTATATTGGAAATCGAAAAATGGTAAATAGAAGTCTTCCATACTTATTTTGAATCATTTTTAATTATTAATTTCGGAGTTATATAACTATGAAGGGGGGGGGGGGGGGTGGGGGGAGGGGTGGTTTTATTGTGATTGAATCACAGTGCTGTACAGCAACACGGATATTCCGTTCAATAAGCAATTGTCTGCTTTTTTTATACAGTAAGTTTGATTCCCCCGGCATTCGATTTTTGAACAAGGGGTTTAAATATATTCCCTTACCAATTCCATTTCCTCGTCTGGATCATATTTACCATAACCATAATGTCCAATAGAGTGAGGTACTTCAACATTGGAACTTAATGGTGGTGGTGTGGTATTTTTTATTGGATGTGGTCTCCTATTCCGTCTTGGTTTATAAATAGACGCAGATGATTCACCTAAATCTCTTGATGCATTTAAATTGATTGGTTCAGCATGGGCGAGTGTCTCTAGAAAAGATGACATGTTTTCGTGAATTAGAGCGATCTTCTGATCAGAATTTAACGCTCTAAATATTCGCCAGCTGAATAGTCTGAAATGTGCTGACAACATTAAGACCAGTTGATGCTTTTAGAGATTATCGGGGAATAACGTGGAATCAAACAAGACGAAATCTTAGTATTTTAGTCTATTCTGTCCAATATAATCAATTTTATTGTCATGGTCACATTACTATGTAGTGTGGTATACCACCCGACAATGCAGTGATAATATAACTATTTTAGTGATAACAGAAGATAAATGATAAGAAAGTGGACAGAAAGCTAATAATTTATACTGATTTATGATAGATAAATCTTCGTTTTTAGAAACACTTGAGGAATCCGCCATATAATCTGTAAATTGCAATGTTCTATAAACGATATGGTGATAACGATAATCGTTGTGATATTTTGGCATGTTGCAGAAGCACCTACGCAAGCGGTCAATTTACTTACTCATGCTGTCCAAAAGAAAGTAAATTGAACAGGTTATAAGAAGTCTAAAGAAAATGCCATCAAAAGCGCTCGATGGTCTCCTCGTGTTATTTCAGTTGTTGTTTTTATCCAGCATATATATGATTACAAGAATCGTGAGACTTTGCAAATTCTGATACATTTAGAGCTGAAAAATGTAAGAAGAGATTACCTGTTTGAAAAGAGGCCATGGATGATGATGATATTTGTTAAATTCATGTCACATATAAATCCATTATATATTATTAAGCCATAGCTTACACAGCGACAATATCAATACTATAGTGAAGTTTATAAATTTGAAATGAATTAAAACTTATCTAATCTTAATCTTGGTTAGTTAGTTCACATCATATTTATCGATGTGGTCAAATGGGAGATAACAAACTGTACCGTGATAAAGAATTTCTGAATAAGAAACCAAATCAATACAATACAGTACAGTAACAAAGATATTCCTAACCGCTCGTAAAAAAAAGTTGGTTAAGAGGCCCTATACAAACCACTCGTAACAAACATGTAGTCATAAACACTGTTTCAACAAAAGTATACAGGTTATCAAAACTGTACAATAAATAGACACTGTTTAAAGGCTAGAATTGTTTTTTGTTGGAGGGGAGTGGGGGGGGGGGGGTTGCAAAAGATATATCTGCAGGGGCAATTTGATGTTTAGCTGCAGGAAATGAGGGCATTACGGGTTTTACTGTCAACGTAACACAATAGTAGGCTAGCCTATACCCTATCTCGACAAAGCGTATCAAAACTGTAGAACTACTGCAATAGATAGGCTGCTGTTTCGAGAAAATGAAACAAAAATGCTCACAAGTGTACAAGGCTATAAGCGACCCGCCATTTGGATATAAGCGACTAACAACTTCCGGCCACGTGCGGAAGTTAACAGGAAAAGGTAAACAAACATATGGCAATAAAGTTGTCAATGATTTTTTGACCTTTTGTATCAATTAAGAATATTTTTTTTAGATTACAAATAATTTGTAGCTACCCAATAAAAGACCTGCTTGTTGACTTACCGTTATCAATTCTGAACAATTTATTACCAGGTCTTTTTTTCCCCAGGTAGAAACGAACGTCTACTCTACTTCAGCACCATATCACTTTAATTTTGGAGACGTTTGAAGACGTCAGAAGTAAGACCATGGCTGATCAAAGAGTAGAAGATTTACCAATTGATATTCATTATAACAAACTTTTAGGTAATACATGTTTTATAAATGCTTTTGATAATACCTTCGGATTTTTCAACCCAGGTTCCTCTTGTCAGTGATGCATGTCGGAAGGGCTGACATGGAAAACTCTGGCGTAAAACTCCATTCATTTCATTTACTTTTTCATAAATGTTTCTGTTTAATTGTCTACACCTATCCTGCTTACCACTAATGTTTAGTCAACTTGTCTACATGTCAACTAGTCTATTCGTCTACAAACTAACAATCATTCTGAATTTCTATGACTTAAATTTATTTCATGAATGGTAAAAGTAAAATTTAAAGTTTTTCAGCAGTAAGATTTCGATTTTGAGGTATATTTAATGGGATGATGCGACTGCTACTTTGTGTAGACTACTTACATATGGCCAAAATCAACCTTTGAAATGGAATTTTGTTTTGTTAAAATTACAGATTGGTTGATCAATAGAAGACATTGTAATAATAAATGGCAAGGTGAAGCTATGAAGATTAAAGAGAAACTTAATAAAACAGTAAAAGATATACCAGATGATGATGCTGAAATATCAGATTTAATAACTGACCAGAGTTAGTAGATTAGTAATAATTTCTACATTAACAAAAATAAATTTGAAGTAATGAGTGTCTCCTCTCACTAAACATCTTCTTTCCCAGATTAACCAGATAACTACCAATGCAGATAGCTGGAATGTCATCTTAAAAACACTATTGATTCAAACCCCAAAAAAATTATCAAAATTGAGGATTTAAAATAACTGACAAATAATTGGCCTTTCTTTCATAATTTTTCATCTTTTCAACTTTTAAAATTTGTTTTATTTACCTAATGTAGATATGAATTACTTTCATTGTTTAAAAATTGTTGAGAAGTTGAAGTCAACTGACTCTGGTAAAACCAATTTTTTGGGTCAATATTCATCTAAGAAAATGCAGGTGAGTCTTGGTTTTTTCATTTGTGAAAATGGTATTTATGGTCTTTGTCAGATCAAGTTATTATCATTAAGGAATATATTATGGTATATCATTCAACAGTTGACTTTTTAAGTTGAATGTTCTCATACAGTTACTAATATTTTATCTGGATATCATCAGTTACTTTTTTTTATCAAAGTTTGTATTATATTTACATCAATATTCTGATAATGCACTTGTTGTTTTCAATTTCTTTATTGTAATAAACAGTGTCAAACACCTTTTATTTCTGTAAAAAAAAGTCAAGCATCTACTATATGAATAGACCAAAGAGCAAAAATGTGTTTTCATCTTGTAAATTAGATCATTATAGTTATCAGAGATGTTTATTCACAATCAACGATGATGAATCAAGAGCAGGTAACACAGTTCTTGATATTGTTGATTAATGACGTTAATTTATGTTATAGGACTGGGCAAGTATTATAAAGATGTATGAGAAAGATGGTATATATTTAGGTATGTATGAACTGAATAGAAGTAAAACAAAAATATCAATAATATGAAATTATACTTGATATGGTAAATATAAGGAATTGATGGCAGCTCTTTCCAGCTGTTGCTGGCTTCATATGACTTTTTTGTTTCATTTTAGCTGAATGTGCACAGATACTGTCTAGAAATGTCAATTATGAAATTCCTGCTTTAAAGAAACAGATAGGTAAATGTCATCAAATACAAGAGGTAATTACCATATAGATCTTAGATTGAGTCAAGCTGTATGTTTTCTATTTTATATACTGTATATTTGTGTGTAAAGTGCAGATTGCTTTGCCAAATGAGGGGATTTTCAAATTCTTGAAAGCAAGAAAAACAATTCCATCAAGCTCTAATCCAGAAAAGTCTATTGAATTTTTCACATTTAATAAAAATTTTGCGCTGATTTGTCACAGAGCTTTTTGGATTGGATTGATTATTTTTTTACTATTCAGGAGAGTAAGCGTAAAGAAAGAGATTACTTTAACAATTCAGTTAATCAGAAGAAGAACTATGAAGCCTCCTGTAAGAAGATGGGAATTGAGGTAATGGTCTTCCACTTTTCTGTATTTATGAGGAATCAGATTTTTTCCTGAATGTCCAGCTGGTCATGGGTCAATCCTCTTGGCTGTGTTTCCTGGTTTAGTCATACCCCTTTACTGCTGGTAGGAATTGAATAATGAGATAAGATACAAAATTTAATGAAAATCCAAAGTTGAATGGTCTTGCTGATTCTGTTTTAGGGAAAGAAGATAAAAACAGAGTTAGCTGCTCTTGTTCGTGATTTACCAAGTGAATTAAATATCATAGCTAAAGAATGTCAGAAGTTAGATTCTACTATATCATATTATGATGATTTTATTAGTCATATTATGAGCAGGTACATACAGTATTTTCTAATAAAATAAATACTTGTGATATGTTTAATTTAATGTTTTCTGCATTCGTGATTCTTGTAAAATCACAAAATAATCCATTTTAGACTCATTACATAGTTTACAAGCATTGTAAATATTTTTATTGTATTTACTAGGGATGATTTAAGTAAAGACTCTCTCCAAGCTTTAAAACATGTAATAAAGAAAGGTAATACCACTACATATGAATGGAAGATGGGTAAAAAACCTGTACATATAGATGAAACATCTATACTGATTGATACCTCAGATGAAAATGATACAGCTGATAATACAGAAGATGTAAGTAGGCTTACTATTAATATGTAATTAAAAATGTTTACAATGTAAATCAAGCTTTTCATTTTGGAATTACAATGTGCAAAATATTGTCATGTTTATTCATATTATATTTATGTCGAGCCGTTTGCTTCTGAAAATGAATCTCAAGGTCAGCACTCTTCAATTTAGAAAACAAAATTAGTGTTAGTTGATGACCTCTTGCTACTAATAATATATGCTATATAACACCACACAATAAAAGAAAAGGTAACAGCACCTCACCGTCTGTCCACAATTAACTAGTGAACTACATAGAAGTCATAGTTTTTGTCAGATTGTTATGAAATTTGTGTGTTATATTATATCCACAAGGTCTTGGTTTGATGTAACAAATCTTCCCAGCCCTTGATATAATTTATTAGGAAAGTGTTTGCTCTTGTCTGGCAAATATTTACTTTGTTTAACACATGCCTATCAATATCTGTTGTTAGATTGATTGGGGAGGTGATGTGGAAGTATCTACAGTAGATATAGATTTTAGTGATCAGATAGATTTTGGTGATATAGATATAACTGTTGAGAGTGGTGGTGATGAAACTAGTAATAATCAAGATGAAGGAGGTGATATTAATTGGGATATAGATACTACTACAGATATAACATCTAATGATTCTTCATCAGGTAGATATATGTTCTAGCTATCGTTTACATTGTATCAAGTAATATGTTAGAAAAATGAGACTTGTTATATTGCTCAACCATATATATCTTAATTAAACTACACTACTATACACTGTTTAGTAAAAACAATTGAAATTTTGCTTTCACTAATTTACATTGAAATTCAGTTATAAGGTGATATAAGTTACATTTTTTGCAGTTTATAATATAAATGCCTTTTCAAGTTTTTGTTCATCAAACTTTAGCTCTTATCCTTATACATGTATGTGTGAGATTTTATATAACTTGATAATATCAATGAAGTGATTGTATTACAGATGGAGTAGCAAGTGGTGAAAATGCTTTAAGTATATTAGAGAATCCTGCTACTAGAAATCTCTTTTTAGATGATTTATTTGAGGTAAATTTTTAAACTATGAGAAGATTTATTGAGAAATAATGTATTTAGTTTAAGTAGTTTTTTTCCACTATTTTCACTATTGGTCCATGTAGAAGGGAATTTTTATACGTCCACATGGAATGGGGGGCATATATTGTCATCCACATGTCCGTCTGTCCACATTTGCTCGTAAACACTTTACAAGGTACAATTCTTGATTGATTTCGACAAAACTTGGTATGGTTGTTTGTAATCACCCAAGGATGAACCGTATTGAAAATCAGAAAAATGGAAAAATATTTAGTATGAGTTATTGCCCTTGTTCTTAAAACACTCGTAAAAAGAAGGCGCAATTCTTGATGGATTTTGATGAAACTTGGTATGAGTGTTTGTAATCACCCATGGATAAACCCTATCGAAAATCAAAAAAATTGAAAATATTTAGTATGAGTTATTGCCCTTGTTCTTGAAAATGCGTTCAATTTGTAGCACGCAAATATTCTACAAGGCACAATTCTTGATGGATTTTGACGAAACTTGGTGTGAGTGTATGTAATCACCCTTACGAAAATCAGAAAAATCGAAAAATATTGTTGCCCTTGTTCTTCAAAACGCGTTTAGAAGGCCCAATTCTTGACAGATTTTGATGAAACTTGGTAATATTATTCAGTATCGTCTCAAAAAGTTCAAAAGAAGTGTATGTCTGAAGGTTGAATATTTCATACTAGTGATTATACTGCAAAATATTTTTATTTAAAATCAAAGCTGATGTACTTGTACGTTAAAATGAAGATTTCATCTGAGCTGAAAAGTTTTGATATAGGCATTTTTCTGCATAATATCTTTAAATTCCTCTTCTTGTCTTTCAGTTGGAAGCATTTTTATGTCAAAGACTAGAAGAATTACAGGGTGATTCTTCTGTATTATCTGATAATCAATTTCAATCATCACCAGAATCCATACAGTTAGACGCCTCACAAGTTTCAACTTTATTGTCTAATGTTAATAATATTTTAACACAATTAACTAATATGAGAATACAACAATTATTATTAATACGTAATTCACCAAGGTAAGAAATAACTTTCTAAATTAATACTTCAGGTAACATGTATATAACCTGTCCATATTATAGTTAAGATAATGTGAATGTTAGTAATATAAACTGACTGAATTTTTGTTAAAGGATAATATACATGATACACTGTCTGTCCATATTATAGTTACAGATTATGTAAACTGTCTGAAAAACTGTCCATATTATAGTTACAGATTATGTAAACTGTCTGAAAAACTGTCCATATTATAGTTATAGATTATGTAAACTGTCTGTCTATATTGTACATTTTATTATTTCAGATATGTAAATCGTGTTCATGATAATTTAAAACAGATTTTATTACTGGCTGACAAAATGACCTATTTAGAAAAACAAGCAGTAATTAGAAGGAATGAAGCTTTGGAAGAACAGCAAGAGGTGGAACCTAAATTAGACACTTTAATAAAAAGGACCAAACAATTACAAAAACAGGTAAATAATTTGTTTATAAAAAGTGTTGACTTTCCTATTCATTATTCAATTGAAATTACAGTGTAACTGCCCTGAATTGAACAACTAGGGAACCAAAGGTAACGTAATCTGAATATTGTTTAGTATTTATTCATGGTTCAGCATGGTTAATGATGTACTCACAAAGAAATGTTATTTGTTGAAGATAACTGAGAGAGGTTAATGGTTAATTTAGGGAGGAATAGATTCGAAAGAACTCTTCCAGGGAGAAATGACATCACTGATGTTGAGAATCAATGTTAAAGTATATTCATATGTGTATTTGTCGTGTATTTTTTTTATATATATATTTCAGTTAGAGGGAGAGATATCTAAGAAATATAAAGAGAGAAAGGTCAATATTATGGGAGATATTAATACTATTTAATTTATTATGTTATAATTGATGGGGAAGGGAATTGTTTTATTTTGTACAGTATTCTTATCAAAATAGATCTATATTACTGTTTAAAATATTCTTTTTGCAAAACAATATGATTTTTATACGCCCACATGAAATGGGGGGCGTATATTGCCGTCACCCATGTCTGTCAGTCGGTCCACAATTGCTCGTAAACATTCTACAAGGCACAATTCTTGACTGATTTCGACGAAACTTGGTATGGTTGTTTGTAATCACCCAAGGATGAATCCTATTGAAAATCAGAAAAATCGAAAAATATTTAGTATGAGTTATTGCCCTTGTTCTTGAAACGCTCGTAAACACTCTAGAAGGTGCAATTCATGACGGATGTTGATGAAACTTGGTGTGAGTGTTTGTAATCACCCAAGGATGAACGCTATTTAAAATCAGAAAAGATCGAAAAATAATTAGTATGGGGTATTTCCCTTCTTCTTGAAAATGCATTCCATTTTTAGCTCGTAAACACTCTGAAAGGCACAATTATTGATGAATTTTGATGAAACTTGGTTTGAGTGTTCGTTATCACCAAGGATGAAACCTATTGAAAATCAGAAGAACCGAAAAATATTTAATAAGAGTTACTGCCCCTGTTCTTGAGAACGTGTTCAATTTTTAACTCGTAAACACTCTAGAAGGCAAAAATTTCTAACGAATTTTGACGAAACTTGGTTGTTGTTATCACCCAAGGATGGACTCTATCAAAAATATTCATACTCAATATTATTCAGTATGGCCCTAAAGGGTTCAAAAGAAGTGTATGACTGAATGTTGAATATTTCATACTGGTGATTGTTACTGTACTGCCAAATATTTTTATTCAAAATCGAAGTTGACAGTGGGCGTATATTACCTTGCCTAGCAAGCTTTCTTTATTGGTTTTTGCGATTGATCTCCCTTTATTGAGTCTATGGTAAAGTAGATGGTATTGTTTTGGTATTTGCAAACGATTGTGTAGCCTATACCCTAGCTCTCGTCAAATTACATTGGTTTCATACATGTCATCTGTGGAGGATCAATTTTCATAGATTGAAACTAGACAGGGATAATGACTGTGGTCGTCAAGACACAGGGCATAAAATAAATATAGAAAGAAAAACACAATTAAAATACAAATAAATTTATATCAAAATCAAACTTAACAATTGTATAATATACAAGCCAATAAAGCAAGTTATGTATTTTATAAGTAAAAAATTTCATCACAGTTATTGCACTTGGAATAAGATCTTTGATGAGGTTGAATGATATTTCTAGATTCTAACTTAGTCTTCATCATCGTCTTCTGTGTATCTGCTGCTTCTTCGACACATACTGAATGGCCTTGTTATAGCCTTTCTAATAGATCTTAATATCCTCCTGAATCGAGATACTGGTACAGGTGGTGGTGGTGTGGCTACAATAGAAATATAGCTTATTAAATATCATGTAGATGGCTGATCTTACCAGGAATGATTTTAACAAATGTATTGTAGTACTTGAAGAATAATTTGTACATATGCTGTACATAAAACTATAAGAGCAGTAACACATCCATGCGAAACATTCAATCAAGAAATATCCACTTTCCATTAAGATTTGTTAATGCCTTTAATTCTGATTTGACAAATGTTTTGATTGATTTGTGATCACCAAGAGAACATATTAGGTCTGTCATGTGTCAATGAAAGCTAATACGAAAGTCATCATCACATAATCACTCAATATAACTGGTATCATCTACAAGACATCAAAATTACTCGAAACAGATGCCCTGTATGTCACGAATGAAAAAAATATCGTACCATTTAAGTATCCTAATTTAAATGGGTTCAGATGATCTGGAACGTCTTTAGATTTCTCTTGTTCCAATCCAAGTTGTTTTATCAGATCATCATACATATCACTGGCTTCATCATCAGTAATAGCATCAGTTATACCATCAGTTAATTTACCACAATCTGGTTTTAGTTCAACTTTTTTACCTACAATAGTTTAATGGCTCAATTTATCAGTTGTTCTATAAATGTATTTTTTAAAAATTATTTTACATTTCATTTTGGATAATTTCCAGATTTTGGGGTAACTTTAAGTTTTTGATGTAGGCTTTAAGTCAATTATTATATATTAACAAAAAAATAAATATTCAAGTCTTCATTCCAAGCTATTTGATCTCTATGCAATAGTCATTTTGACATGAATACATATTCTACATACCTTTTTTGGTTTTACCACTGTCAATGTTACCATCAGCCTGATTTATATTAGCTGTATAAACTGCTAAAACACTAGACTTGGTGGCTGTACTCTGTATTGAGTCTTCCTCGTCTGAAATGGACAAAACAATTTAAACAACGCCAGTATATTTTGGTACAAATGCTTAAAGGGAAAAGAAAAAAATTGCAGTGGATAGTGAATTTACTGACTTTAACAATCTTTCCAGTGTGTTTTCAGTCTTGCTTCGTTATAATTTCCCGACCGACGCTTAGAAAACCCAGTAACTTTCTTATCGCTATTAGTCAGAACGATCTAAAAGTTTGTATACTAAGTTACCTTTATTGAGTACTTTCAAATTCAAAGCAGCATTTTCTGTCTCAATGTCTGTTTCCATTGTCAACATGGAACGATGGGTCTCTGCACTAGAAAAGGCATGGTCCACCATTTGTCTTGCTATTTGGTTTAAGTAGACATCAAGTGGACTGGGTCCTTTCACATATTGTATTGGAAACATCCTGGAAAATAAAAAAAATATATGTTTTATTTTCTTTAAGTAGGAGACATAACCACGTTGAACTTAATAATTTACGAAATAATTGTGTTCAACTAGCGAACAGATTGGGACTAAACATTGCAAGATAGCATATTGTATTTTTGGTCTATTTGTGGTCAAAAAGAACCAAATTCAAGATGATTAAAAATAGGTCTGGATCTCATATTGATGAATGCGTTCATTATAGACTTATTATAGTTCCTGTTTAGTGGATTACATATTACCGAAATCAGTTGTCCTCTAGCTAGAAACCAAAGTAAACCAAGATCTTGTCAAACTAGAAATTTGGACAGATACAGAGTGTACGTAGAGATTCTATGTAGGGAAAGCAAAAGATCTTGACAAAATTAAATTGGACAGTGTTGTTGATATCATTTTCATCTCTACTGTTCTAAAACAAGTAAACCGCAATTATACAACGTTTTACCAACTCTTCGAATTTCTTCATTTCTAATAATAAGGTGGTGATAATCCATTCACAATCAAGCGCCTACTCTTATGCCAAGACGATCGCATTGTTTCCTCTTTTGGAAACCCAAGTCTATGCATTTATATGTTCTGCCAATTTGTGCTAAAATTAGTTTAAAACAGATTCAATTGAAGGCGCAATGGACGACAGCAGAAATTCAGCATCAGAGGTAGCACAGCAGAAACAGGAAAAACACAATTCCACACAGGTTATGTCCACTATTACTTATTTTGTCACTAGACATGAAAATAACAATTTACCTTCGAATGATTCTAGAAAAATCCCCAAAAATATAGAGAAACTCGTGAACACGTCTTATAGAATGTAAATTTCTTAGACTTGTGACGTCATGCTATTATTCTAGGTATTTTAATTGTTTGACGTCATAATAATAGTAAGAATGAAATTTTTGAATTAAACATTATTGAAATTATGCTAAATCTTTTTGTTTCAAATTGATTACGATTATTTGCAAGTACATTATCAAGGCCTGTACGTAGAGAGTCCAAATTGATATAAATTTCATTATCCACATATTTTCCCATTAAATAGTTGGTTAGAATCACGAAACAGTTTGGAAAGTTAAAAACATTTAGGCTAAACATTTCTAATGGTAGATCCTGAAATTCTATATCAGAAGATTATTAGGTCTATTAAAAGCCACTGTTCGCCATTTTCGGGGGTTGATTTGGGACTTGAATATGAAAAGAGTACAAGAAATGTGCGAAAATTGCATAATCCTTTCAAATTTATCATAAACTACTCATTTCACTTCTATTTCTATATTTAGATGTTTTGTTACGATTAAACAAGTGAGTTGTATTTGTCAATGAAAAATAAGAAGAAAAGTCTGCTGTCACTGGCAATAAATGTTATTCTTTACGACAGGCATTAGTGATCCAGGCTGTCCTCCCGTATATCTTTCGGAATTAAACCTAAAATTATGACGTTGCTTTTTTATTCAGAAATAAAATAAAACTTATCGAACTGAACATTACTCAAATTCAGGGAAATATCTGATTTCTAACATTTTTTGCTCTAAACGTAGGCCAATGTAACTTAAAAGGTGTAAACATCTGTTGAAAACTGTGCACAAAATCATAAAATTGTCAATGATCGAGTAATTCTGAAATGATGAAAGTTTAAGACTTATAATTATGTCAATGGTAGCCAAGTCTAAAAATTTAAGATGCAACGTGTCCATCCGGCTAATTTAATTCAAGTTTTACAAGTAAGTAACCAGTAAAATAATATTTCTGTCAATGGTTGACATTTTTTTCGGTGATTAGTATTTTGGAGATGAAATTTTCAAATTGTACAAAATTATTGCCAAAACACGATTCTGAGAACTGTGTTCGTGGACAGTAATCAAGCATGCTAAACAAGAAAAGAGACGACGGTCTATTGTAAAGAGTTTTATTCAGGAACGAATTGTACTCAGTGTATAGACTGTTAAGATATTGAACCTCGAAGTTAAACCATTGATTAGTTGACTTGGGTATGAGATGAAATCAGGGGTTAATACGCACAGTTTGTGGTCCGCCGTTAGGTTAAAAGGAAATATAACAGTCTATTTGGAAGCAGAGGTCCTTGACTATAATACCTCTAGACTTGCTACCTATAATGGGCGAAACTTCAATACAGAAAAGGTATGTCCTTCTTAAACATGTTGACCACATTTAATTTTCAATTGTATGCCATTTGCCTTAGCATGTCTGGATCTATAGAAATAATAATAATAAACTCTTTATTTTACACGGGCCAGAAATAGGCCCAATACATAAGGACATGGCCCTGTCTAACATTCAGCCCACGGGGACAATGCAATGAATGAATGAATGAATGGATTATGAACTATATCTACAAAATATTCTATGATGTACCACTTGATTCTTTCAATATTTTTTTTTTGTTCCGAAACTAACGCCTGGTGATCTGTTGTCGCTTGCTTCTGGCAAAGTAAAACCAACGAGGCCCTGATAAAGCAGTAAGTTACAATGGACAGAACTGGAGTTACAGTGTCTTCTCACCTTATACCGTCAATAATTGGACCAACACAAATGTTATTTAATCATCAGAAACATTAATACGATATGCAAGAAGTTGGTTGTGAGAGACAATTAACGCAGATGAAAGGTAACCCATATAATCCATTTCCCTATTCATGACATAGGTAGCATTTTTTTCGAAATTCTAAAAAAATAAATGCATTTCATTGCTCTGGTGTAAAAATTTATACGGAAAGTTGATATTTATCACAAATAAATATAACGGACATACGTAATCCATACAATACCTTTACATTCTATCAATAATCCCAAAAATTCTGCAAATTTTGTAGAGAAACTCGTAAACACGTCTTATAGAAAGTAATCTTTCTTGACTTGTGACGTCATTGCATTATTAACTGTATTTTAATTGTTTGACGTCATATATATCAACATCTATAATATTATTTCTTTTTGGAACTTTTATCTGTATCCTCTAGTCGTCTGTGCGTTTTCAAAAATGAAAATTTCGTTAAGGATTTTGGTGAATATTTTACCCCTTTAAGAGCCACGAAGGCCAACAGCACCCCAATTATAATGATATGTAGTAATTTAATGGTCGTTGTGTTATATAATATTGCCAACTGATTTTTTAATGGTAATTTTTAAAATTAAATACAAATCTAAATGATATTTTAATGGTAAATATCCATTAATGATTGTACAGATAATGAATTAGTAAAAGTTTTTAAGTCCACTGGTTGCCAGGATGTAAAAATCAACTGTAGCTGAGGATCTTTCATTATAAAACCATTATCAGAAAAACGACCAGATATACCACGTGAATTAATCCATACAAATGGTGCTATGTGGTTTGTAGTTAATGTTACTGTAAATTCTGTAGGAGACATCTTTTTAACATTCGAGATCTGAAATATAAAAATGGCTTCTATTCAGATCATTCTTAAGATATGTGAGCTTGGAACTGCCGTTCGACTTGATGTGGAATTTTTCTTTCAAAAACCATAACTTCCAATAGCTATACAAATATGACTAATAATATTTCTTGAAATCTTAAAATACATCAGGGAGCATAGGTTGCATTGCAATTCATAAGTTCCCATATAATGGTCGGAGAATTGTCTAGAATGACTGATATATACAGTATTCGGGTACCACTGAATAACAAATAGCCTTTTTCGGGTGCATGTATTCGCAAAACACCCCCAGCCAATATCTTCCTAAGGCCAATGCCGTAATTGACATACTGTTTTGAATATTTACCTGAATATTGGACTGTAATATTCTACCCTGGACATCAGTAAAATATGATAATGGTAACCACGATGTACTGGTTGGATTATCTCTTGAGTTGAGATAAAAATAGAGAAAACAATTCTTCTTGTCTGTACAACCAGCTTCAGATAAAATATCATCTACATTCTTTTCAAAGATACATCCTGACGTTTGGTTTAACTAAAATGAAAAATAGGAATTTCATGCATTTGGTTTTTTTTTTAATCCAAAACAGATCTCTGCTCAAATTTTTCTGTTATTTAACAGATATTCCTTACACATTAGCTCTGATTTATTTTTAAATATTTGGTCAAATGCGGTCTTGAAACGAAAATGGAAGGTGTTATGGTAAAACATAACATTGCTGCACGAAAGATCCATTGTTGGCAACGCTGGTTTACAAATAGCAGTAGTAGCAGTAGCATGTGCAATGACAGATTTCTTTGGCCAAAGGTAGATGAAAAGTGAACATCAACAAAAGCTGGTATCCAGACTAGTAGATGTTGGTAGTTAGTAGTTGGATCTGAATCAATCAATCGGTTTAGTACTGTTTGTTTGTTAGTTGAAAAATTGTTAGGTCTGATCTTCGTTCTTCCAAAGCTCGTTATGATCATGGTAATCTCCTTTAGATAGTAACTACTGGTTTGGTTAGATTATCTGTTATCGGTTAGAAAATGTATGGTCAAAATTATCTATGTTATACTTACTTGAAAGGGAACCTCTTTAGAATATAGAGGATTAAAATCTCTCCAGGTATACACTTCCAGTATAACTTTACCAGAGGACCTTTCTTTAGTCGTTTTGATTAAGTCGTACACTTGATGCTTGGGATACTTTAAAATAATTTCCTCAGGCGTCATGACTCTAAACTTTAACTGATTTGTTAGTGGATCTCTTTCTTCTAGCATTGCCAGTTCATCGTTGACAATATCAATTGAGAGGTTTGTACCATAAATATGCGGAGACACGATGGTAGAGTTGAAGAATTTCTTGGCATAGTAATGTAACATTTTCCATTTCTGATTAAAATCTATACAAATTGAAATTTAAACTTTTATTAAAATTGAAATTTCAAATAACCCCATAATGTCTGACTATGTGGCCATATCCGGACAGAGGTAGACAAGAAAAGACACATCGATTTGTTAACTTGTCTTTTGGTGAAATATATGCATTTTGACTCCCTTTGTCTATTGGCGAGCAACTAAATAATAAAGAGTACATATTACCTATAGATGCCCAAGTGGGAGCCTGCCATACATCAGCCAGAAACCAAAATATAGAGCCCATTGTATGACCTTTACCACTGGAAGGGTCAAAGTTATTCTGTGATCTACGATAATGTTCTGTCATATACCTCATCATCATAGCATGGTTTATCTGGTAAAGCAAAAGTCAAGAAGTAAAATTCATTCAGTTAATATGAGCACATTTCGTACCTCAAGACAAATAACTTGTACTTAACTACTTCATTAAAAGAAACAACAAAAAGTGGTTAAAAAGTACAAGAGGATTATTAAAAGTTTGTAGACGGTAAAATGATGTCTCGGGCGATGGGGTAAAGAGATTTATCACAGAGAAAGAGAATGTTTCCAGGGAAGCGATTTTTTCAAAAATATAATAGAAAATTTTACCTGCGATAAATAGATCATGTGTTGAAATCTTGTAACGTTATCTGTTGTAGTTGGTAATGTAAAGTGAGCCTTTATTTCATCATACATCTGCTGCGTTCCTATAAGAGAGAGTCGATTTTTCCATAAAACGATTTTGCCGACATAATAGAGGCAATGATAGCATTATACTATAAAACCCAACGCCTTTTCAGTGGTATATATAATAGATATGTAATATATTATGTTATAATTATATTATATCATTGGTAATTTGGACTATTCAAAAGAGGACTGGCAAACCCACTGGAATCAAATATTGATTGTCGATGTATCTTTCACTAGGCAACAATATATAGCAACAATCTTTGAGATGGGTAACCTAATTATGATGAATTTCTATATATTTGATAATTGGACATCTAATACTTATATCAATTAGTAGAGGTATTCTAATGATTGGAAAAAGTAATAGATCGTATAAAAACTAGGCGGAAAGCGATCTTTAACGGAATTAAAGAATGACTACTATCGTATTAGTCGTATTAGATTTAACGAATATGTTTTACCATTTGGATGATGTGTTCTATGTTGTGCTATAGGTGAAAAGAAATCCATATCAGATTTATCTATGACAGGCTCCAGTGTTTCTGGATCACACCAAGATATTAATCCATATTCGGATGCAAACCTCGGAGTGGGAAAATTATTTATATTCCATAAATCCGATATATAGTCATAGAAATGTACTGGAAATAGAAGAAGAAAAGGACATGGTGAATAGACAAAGCTTCAAAGAACAGAGCACTTGGTTCTTGAAAATCATTAAGAACTCATAGGAGGTAATCACAGATATCAACAGAAGACAAACATACCGATCTTTATCATAATCAAATTGTCAACAGCATTTTAGTTTAAGTAGATGTCGGATGTCTAACAATTCTTACCATCGCCATTAAGTTCAGATTGACAGTTATTACACATTATATCTGACTGACCATTACTAGGACTAGAAACTATTCTAGGTCTGGTGAGATCCTCTGATGTTATAATTGGTGCCAAGGTCTCCCTAAATAGTACTCTATAATCATCTCTAAATCGTTCCATATCAGTCACATGTAACCTAAATCGAAATAGAGTATTACTTATTACACTTTATTGGGTTAATGGTACAACATGACTCAAAAATATGTATTTGGTGGAAATCTATTTCCAACAAAATGACCACTGGAAACTGATAATTATATGGTAACATGGTCGCCAAATCAGCTTATAACAGACAAGTTACTGTCAGACTGGCGGAATGTTATGAATCTAAGCATCATGGTTCAACTTTTGGTCGAAGTTGATACATAACGGTGCAATATTTCAACACATTGCACGTCAATGAAGGAATTTAGAGCTTCTTCGACATCCACGGACATATAAAGAAGATTAGAGTACATACCAATTCTGGTTGATAAGAATTTCGTCTTCATCATTAAATCCCCAAGCAATAATTGATGGATGATTCTTGATTCTTCGGACCTTATGGAAAAAAGTTAAATCAAGTATTTTAATGAGATTAATCAAGGATGTGTATTTAATTAATTCTATTCATTCATTATTGAAGAAAGTATTCATACGATAAATCTCCCTGGTACATTTTCTCAATTTCGTTACATTTTGAATATTAAACTCCCTTTTTTATTTACTCCTTTGGAAAGTTAACCGCCATTTTTAAACTATCTTCTCTGTTAAGCATATAGATGTGTACTAGTCAATTAAGAATTAAAGTATAAACAGCAATGGCATTCAGAGTTGCTAAAAATTACATACTTGTTGAGTTACTTCAATTTTAACAGAATCTAGAAAATTCTGATCGACAGGATAAAGGGCATCACAGAACATCAGTCCTTCTAACACCATGATTCCTAAATTATTGGTTAATTCATAGAAATAGTCATCTTCATAGATCTACAATTAGAGACAGATATTCACAAAATAATATCAATACTGTACAAAACACAAGAAGACAAGTTTCATGTACAGTTTTAAACTAATTTTAAATTGGTTATTATTGCTTGATTTTATCTAATTATAGAGGAAGATTCCTCATGCGTTAGTTTCGACAGGTGAAATTCGGACAGTAAGACTTACAGCTAGACCAGGTATTGTTAGGAAATTCATATTTCCTTCAGCCACTGAGTTCAACAAAATCTCTATTTTCTCCTCTGTCACTCTTCCTAGCATTGTATCAGGTGGGACCCAGTTTGCACCTTTCATAAATATTGGTACACCATTTATACGGAAGTAGAATGTGTTGCCTTCAAAATAACAAAATGCATCCTACAGGACATGAATTGGCTTTTTTGGTTTACTGGTGCGATAGCATAATGACCTTGCTTAAAACTTACAGATACTCCAGATACTGTTAACAAATTCATATTTCCTTCTATAACTGAGTGTAATATATTCTCTATTTTATCTCTAGTTATTCTTTCTAACATTGTATCAGGTGGGACCCAGTTAGCACCCTTCATAAATATTGGTACACCATTTATACGGAAATAGAATGTGTTTCCTTCAAAATAATATAGTTTATTGCCTTACTTCAGTCCAAATAATTTGGCTTTCCTTTTCTAATTTTCTTAAACGCGAAATTTTGTAGGTGAGAAAGGCCTTGAGTTCAATTACATGATTTACCCGATACCACCAATCATGAACATCATCTTGAAAACATGTTGAAGAAACACAAATTGGACAACAGTGGAGATTAAGCTTACTCTTCAACAAGTGATCACATCTTCACCCATATACAGTTGATGCATCTGGCTAATGGCGACCAAGCCACTACTCCTATATATTATTATCGTACCTAAATATTTATCTGAGGAGACAGGATCTTGAACTAATTCTACTGTTCTGAACCCAATCTGTTTGGTTTTGGTTGATATGTCAGGAGAATCATCCAGGGTTAAGGTTACTGTCAAGTTATATACATCTTGGTTACCATAACCTCGG